ATCTCTAGCATCTAGTTATTCCAGTCTACACCGTTAGTATTTATTGCACATGCTCTCCAGATAAGTATATGACGTCACCGTTTGACATGACTTGTGGAATATGTCTAGCCTCGTTCTTTGAGTCTCTTGTTACAAATGGCGCTGAAACGCATTGAGGTACACGAGTCGTGTACCAATGGTAAAATGTTTATTTTGTCTTAAATATTGGATATTAGACCCCCATCTTTTCCCGTTAAGATCACAACATCTAATTTCAAATCAGTTATGTTCTGCGAAACACGCCAGAAGTCTCAATCGAATGGCAATCTCTAGCGTCTAGTTATTCCAGTCTACACCGTTAGTATTTATTGCACATGCTCTCCAGATAAGTATATGACGTCACCGTTTGACATGACTTGTGGAATATGTCTAGCCTCGTTCTTTGAGTCTCTTGTTACAAATGGCGCTGAAACGCATTGAGGTACACGAGTCGTGTACCAATGGTAAAATGTTTATTTTGTCTTAAATATTGGATATTAGACCCCCATCTTTTCCCGTTAAGATCACAACATCAATGTTGATTTAAATTGACAAATAATTCGTGTTTTCAATGTCATAGACTTTGGATGATATCGTAAGAAAGTCTAACCTTATACTATTCCTGAAATCACCTAGTTTGTGAAATGAAATGAAATGATCTTCAATGTCCTACTCCGACTGGGCTAATGAAGACGGGCATACGCCATGCAGTGTGCTATGGGGGGAAATTTTGCCCGGGAAAAAGCACTATGGCCTACTCTTATATCGAATTCCAACTGCCAAAGAATCTTTTACGTGCATGCCAATTTGTACATGGGACCTCGGTTGTTCGTCCAATCCGAACGACTAGACAGGTTTCCTGCACAACTGACAAGGGGAAACCGCGCCGGAAAATCCCGATGAACTTTCTCGGCCAACACCGGGAGCGAACTCGCGATCTCCAGACTAGCGAGCCACTGTCTTATTCACCTGGCCACCGTGGCCCCCACCTAGTTTGTTTCGAGTGGACGTATTATGTATATTATTTCTAATATTTTACTAGTGTAAGGATTCTGGATTATTTTCTAATATTTTAATAGTGTATAAGGATTCGAGATTATTTTCCAATGTTTAATGGTGCAAGGGTTTTAGATTATTTTCGAAAATATTAATAAAAATGATAAAAAGATATTTTTTAATATGTTATTAAAATACTAGATTATTTTCTAATATTTCAAGTGTAAGGATTCTATATCATTTTCTAATATTTTAATAATGTAAAGGATTTAAAGATATTTCCCTTTTTTAACATGGTAAGGATTCTACATTAGTATCGAATATTTTCAAATACTGTAACAAAATACTAGATTATTTTCTAATATTTTACAAGTGTAAGCATTCTAGATTATTTTATACCATTTTTTCAGTTGGTGAACAGTTTATTTATCTTGGAGCAACTGACATCAATGAAGAAGGGGTGTGGAACTGGTTAAATGGTGAACCAATTGTTAATGATCAAATTATAACAAATAACGCCAATGGAATACAACATTGTTTAGTCTGTAATGCGAGCAGGTTTGATGACAGGAAATGCACAGCTAAAAATGCATTTATTTGTCCTAAAACTAATATTTAAGCACTGTTCCCATTAAAATATCAGTAGATAATTCCCTAACTTTGTAATTAATACACCTGAATTTAAGCGCTGTTCCCATTAAATTATCAGTAACTTTGTAATTAATACACCTGAATTTAAGCACTGTTTCCATTAAATTATCAGTAACTTTGTAATTAATAAACCTGAATTTGAGCACTGTTCCCATTAAAGTATCAGTAAATTTGTAATTAATACAACTGAATTCTTTAGAGCGCTTTTAATGTTTCTTACTACTACATTTCACCGATATGGTTACTTATATAGGTATTTTATATTTCATTTACATTTATATTTCATGTGGCATATAGCAGATCATGACCCATACTAGTATTATATAAAGTTTGGGACATATTCCCCCTTATTGTTAGTTAGTTTTCGTTTTTGAGTTAAGTCTGTATCACTACAGGCCCGGGATTGTACAAGGTAGTGGGCGCTTACGTCTAGCCCCCGGATCCATTCACTTGATCTGATATGTACGCTTGTTTGTGATTTATGCGTATTGTGTTATGTCACTGGTTTTAACATGTAATTGTTTGTGTGTGGTGCAGTACCCCTGCATTTAATAATATAGCTCCATTCACATGGATATCATTGTTTTGATATACCACTGGATAGTTTGATCGTTGGAACAATCGTATAATAAAGCCCTATTCATCAATGCACCCCGTCTTCAAATAAAATATAAATTCAGAGAGAGAGAGAGAGAGAGGGAGAGAGAGAGAGAGAGAGGGGGAGGGAGAGAGAGAGAGAGAGAGGGAGAGAGAGAGAGAGAGGGGGAGAGAGAGAGCGAGAGAGCGAGAGAGAGAGAGAGAGAGAGAGAGAGAGAGGGTTTAACGTGTCCACTCGACACAAACTAGGTCATTTCGGGACTAACATAGGGTTTAATTTTATTTCAATAATTCGCTTGCGCGTAGGGGTCTTTAGCATGGGGGGGGGGGGGCGGAGGACCCAGAAAAAAAACCACGAGGTTGGACAGGCGACCCTACTCCTTGTCACGTACAACCGGTGTATCGAAACCACGCCAGTTGTCTCAATGACAGACCTAATGATACAATGCGCACGCGCTAACAAATCGCTCCCCACCCCCAATGTTAATTCAATGAGAGATTGATACCTAATTTCACATAGTTGACGTTAGTGAGAATCGAGTTTTACATTCAACAAAAGTTTTTCTACTCTAGCAACGGGAACTTATTACTTTATTATTATATCTATTGTGTAACCTATTCTCATGTTTATGTCGATTAAAAATTTCTACTTATATTTTTGTTCTTACGTTTAAGCTTTTGTAATTTACTATACAGAAACCTTTGTTAAAGTTTGCTTTTACTTAATCCTGAAACATAAAATTACCCTCATGTTCCTGAAGCAACGACTGCGAGTTTTACAACATCTGGGCGTTGCTAGATTACTTCACAATTCCTGAACTTATAGCTACGTTATCTACAGACACGTTAACAGTAGCGTCCAATCAGATGTTGTGACATCGCGACCTCCACATAGACATTTTAGCTTGAAAGCGCGAGACTTTGTATTCGCGACAATCGAAATTAGCGCCGAAATATGCAGGATATTAGTTAAAACGAGATCAAGCCTTCTATTGAAGATGGTATACCCTGGTCTGTTGTTGTCTAACAACGAATATTTTCAAAGGTTTGCAATCAGGAACCATCGTCAAAATCCCTAGTCAACGACGCAAAAATAGGGTATTCGACAATAAATTCCTGCACCTCAAGGCCTTCAATAGACTACCCTTCGTCACGCCTCCAAATAAAACGATGTGTAACACCATGCTGTCACACCTATTCTGGTCATCGGTGTCAAATATATATCGTTTAATGGTCGAGAGCGAGACATTAAGTAATATATTGTAACAACATGAGGGCCGTGAGGCAATGTCTTAAGCTCAAGACCATTAAACAACTTAAAATACAGACACTTGCACGTGCTTTGCAATGAAATACGTCACCCGGAGTTCAATATTTTACCAAGTTACGCTTGGCACATTGCCCGTACGATTATTTGAAATAATGGTACTCCAACATCAAAGGATGACGTCACATCTGAATTTTAAAGGGATATAATATTACGATGTCAAATATTATGTGACACAGCACGAAATGGGATATTATTCCGACCCTTTGTCAATCGTGGAATTTAATTTTCTGACTTCACTTCACGTTGTGTACTTTTGTGTAGATAAAATTCCTGAACACTGTTTTGTTCTAAAATCCTTGTTATATAATAACTACAGGTATGATATTACGAAATCCATTATACGTTATAAACGTATCCAGACCTACTTCTGTAACACTACATGGTCTTTGTAGGACTTCCACCTGGTGTCACATACTATTGCAGGCTGACAAATGTTACCTGCTAAGGATCTACATGTTGTCTAAATTAAACCAAATTGCACAATGTCTAATAAAGAGAGTGAAAGCATGACTCATAGACGTACTATCAACCATCCTGTCCTACTTTGGATACACATTAGGAAAATGTGACTAGTTTCATAAGAATGGGGTCAAGAGGGAGGGGGGGGGGCGGACGACCCAAGACCATATTTTGTTCATCTGACATTCTGACGCCATGGGCCTTTACCGTTGACATGTAAACAATAGCGTTGTTCAATAAGAGGTCGTGGCACAAAGACACTCAAATCAGACATGGCGACCTCCACAGAAACCTTGACATGAACGAACCTTAAACTTTACAACTCGATTATCACAGGTAGACATTTTAGCTGTTAGTTTTGGTATTCATGATGATATTTCCTATCGGAGAATCTAAGAGGTCCTCGGCTGGATATAGGCTTTGCCGAGTGTTGCGGTCCTCTAGCACTTACTATTTGAAATCAGGCTTCATTGGATTGGTGCAAATGGGAATCGTCACAATCTGATCAAAACACAGAGCCTATATCGTTTCATTTTTTATAGTTCAAAATTTCGTTTTAATTGCCTTTACTACACTAGGATCTGGAAGAGTTGTTATCATTGACGTGTTCTGGATGATGTGAGGGATTAGACAATGAAACGGTCTGTTACGGCGAGCTTTTGGCGTGAGGTACACGGAACTGTGGATAATCCACTAGAAACATCAGTGCTGATTGGTTAATCAAATGTCTGACGTCAAAGGGTGAAAAGCCGCTCTTATGACCTCAGACGCGACCCCCCAAAACAACTGGTCAGATCTCCATGTAGTGTAGGCCATCGAAAGTGTAAAAAAAGAAAAGAAATAAAGGTCTGTATTTGAATCAGATTGGAATGGCCGTTAACGTAACTACAGTTTAGAATAAATTGTCAGAGACTTCTATTAAAACAAAACAAGACACAGAAAACAAGTGTAACAATACAATGTTGTTTAATGGAGTTCAAAAGAAATTAATGATTATATTAACCACAACCTTCGACCAAGAAAATAATAACAATCTACATTGAACCATTCGGTCAAATCCATCCCGTTAAGCTTTATAGAGCCGTAACGAAGACAGTAAACATGTTTCATGCTGCATATTAATTAAATCAAGGAGTGCTAGACTTTACAATGTTACTGTTTTTTTACTTCTACTATTCGGATTTTGTTCTAAATATTTTTACACCAAAACTCCTGACATCACTGCTTTTAACAATACGTGTGACACTTGAACATGTGGGTTATTGTTAATAAATAAAGCAGCTTGCTATATTTTGATTTATTACACAATATAAGTGATATTAAAAGATGTGCTTCTTTAAATAAATTTACATGAAAATCTCTGACCTACTACTTTACTGTGTGATACCTAGCAGTGTCGTCATGAATGGAACAGTCGATTATTGTAAATAAACAAAACAACGTGGTATATTTTGATTTATCACACAATGTAATTGATATTGCGTATGTCATGCTCAGCGATATTTTGATTGGTTTCTTTGATTGCGACGTGTGTTTTGTTTTTGATTGATAATAATTGAAGGCCTAATCGAATATGATGTAAGCCATAGGGGGAGAGATACCAAGGTGTGATCAAACCCTGTCACGCTTAGTAACTTTATACTTATTGTACTTTATTACAACCCTAAATAGTTATATATTAAAATATTCTGCAAAACTGAAAATATAAAGCGAAACTTTAACTTTCTTCTTATTTTCCATCTCGAATTTTCTCAAACGCTCGTGCCACTTGTAATACTGTTGTTTCATCAAAATGGCGCCCCACGATCATCATACCAATCGGAAGTCCTTCAATATTTCCCGCGTTTATAGAGAGCGCGGGGTGACCAGTTGAATCGGCTGCTGCTGTATTAGTTACCATCGATAGTGCTGTGTCAAAGAATTCTGAAATAGAAATATCATCATCATCATCATCATAACAAGCCATCAGCGAGACTGGTGTCACAAGTCCCAAAATAAACCGGTCAGATGGCGTATGTTACTTAATTTCACATTTATATATTTTAAAAACATCGAGCAATCAAACTGCATACGAGTGTATCTATACTTAGAATCAAAGGTATTGTGTCACAACGCATCTACAAATCAAACTGATTATCCTTAGCGGTAAAGGTTAATCATTGAACGCAGTCAAAACATTCACCTATCGAACACTTATGCCAAGTTGGAACTTTCTAGCTCAGTTAAAGGGACAATAACACTCTTGCTGGCTTGACAGCTCCAGAAAATAAAGAAATACCCTTATGCTAAGTACTAGATGTGTTAGTGTCCTACCTGTTGTGTAAATTATCCATTAAATCCCATTTTACTTGTTCAAAGGGTTCAAAAATATTTTTAAATCCAAGTCACATTTGAAAAGCTTTACGTCAGGCTTTTCAAATCATTTAGTTGAATTTTTCCAATTTTTTAAATTAGGTGTGTTAAGATGAAATTTGTATCATCAATTAATTGGAATATTGTTAAATAGTACAATTTGTTGACCAGAATAAAGATTAGAACATATTATTCAGTTACAACAAGAGTGGTATTGAGCCTTTAAAAGTAATTGTATTCCAATGTCCTGACCAATAATTTCGCTTATCGATACTAGGCCTAAGTAGAAACCTTTCAGCATTGGACTTAGTGAAGGCACCGATATAAAACTATAGTCTCACCCAATTAGAATCAAAGTTATCGTGTTCCAAATATAGGCACATCCTAATTAGCACACTAAATAAATCTCTAGATACTTACCAGAAGTTGAGCAATCGGCTTGTGGAAGTTTTGATGCCTTATATGGTAAAGTTGGTAGAATTAAGACATCATATTCCTGTAGAACTTTATCATAGGCTTGGGTTAATACCGTGGTCAGGTTCTGGCCTTTCGCATAAAATTTGTTACCATAATTTCTGTTCATATATTCTCCAACCAAACACAGCATTTTAACAACTTTGGAATTATCATACGGTCGAGTTGTCCGTCCACGGAAATATGCTTCCTGTAGCGACGTTGCGTAATACCCTTTCCATTGGTAGCCGTTTCCTGCAATTAAACAATTACTTATATGTCCCAATTTTCAAAATCACGAATGCAACCAATTTGAAAGTTATTTTAAGGTTCGGCATAAATGTTGCAGTTTAAATACATCATAGCATTGTACGTAATTAAACCTGTATTGCAAATGGTTAAATATGTTACGTAAAGAATTCAGGTTATCTAAACCATGTCGCCTTAGAAACACGCTTCGTTTAAGTATTTTTGTCTTACTCATGTTTCTTGCTCATACTGATTTACAGTTGCATAGCATATTGTATTTAATACTGTCGACAAAATAAGAGGTAAAATTAACTGTCGTTGCCTTGCATTTAGAATCAAACGGCTGGATACCTATCTAAATTGTCATGTTGGGATTTCCTAAGTTCGATCAGTATTGAATATAGAAGGTAACTTCCTTTTAGGTTATTTGGATTAAACCACAGATTACGGTGTATCATTGGGATTTCACGCCTACCTTACTTTCTTACTTCTCTGCAGAGGATCAAAATATAAAATTCATACGTGCATCTAGATCCTCATACATCATGAGTAAACAGATTTATAGAAGGAATGTGTGGAGAAACTATGAAAGCATTTCTCGCGGTCATCAAATAACCTACCAAACCATGTCTCGGGGTCATAATGGGCCCTATTAAGGCACGTCCCGAGGGTCTTAAATGACCATATTGAAGAATGTCCAAAGGTCATAATGAAACCTATGAAAGTATATGCCGCGTAGGTTATAGTGAAAGATATCGGATAGATGGATGATCTATCCTCGTATCCAAGCTTGAGTCAGAAATCTCTTGGTGGTTTCCATTAGTACTCGAGATTTTAATATGTCTGATGTGCTGGATATAGAGTGGTAGTCAAGGGGTATAGGAAACTAAACACTCGAATAGCGTCCAACTGGATTAAAAATAATATCGGTAAGTCTTCAAACGAAAAAAAAATGAAATGGGGTTTAATGTCCTACTGTTCTGCTCCGACTGGGCTATGAAGACGGGCATACGCCATACAGTATGCTATGATCGTGAATTTTTGCCCGAGCAACGGCGCTACGGCCTATTCTTATATGGAATTCCAACTGCCACGCGGTCTTTTACGTGTACTCCAATGTGTGCACGGGACCTATGATTTTCGTTTCATCCGAACGACCAGACAGCTGTACTTGTCAACCCCTCTGCTCTGCACCACTGACAAGGGAAACCCACGCCGGAAAATCCCGAAGGACGTTCTCGGGTATCACCGGGATCGAACATGCGACCTCCAGACTAGCGGGCCAGCGTCTTACTCACTTAGCCAAGTCTTCAAACCCACACGATTCTAGTTATTTGGGTAAGATGAAAATCCCCAGTGGACCCGGGTACAAGAATCGCAGAATAATAGAAGGAAGTCGTGGAATAATAGAAGGGAATGCTTTGTAGGAGTGGCCGTAGAAACAAAAACCGTGTACGTGTTAGTATCTAAATCACCCCAGTATTCATTAAAGAGACTATAAACCTTATTACACCCGCGTCTTAAACAATACAAGACACATCAAACAGTGCGCAAAAATTACTAACCATTTCCAAGGATCATGTTATTATATGCTCCCTGCATGCATACTCCTGTCCAAATAGCGGATGCTGAAACAAATCAAACCAAGGAAGTCTTAATTTACATTTAGGAGATGTTTGGTTATATCAGTGAAAATTAACAATGTTTATAACTGGTATGTGCCTTAATAGGAACCATTATGATCCCGAGACATGCTTTGATAGGTTTTTTTATGAGATATTTGGTTATATCAGTGAACATTAGCAATGGTTATAACTCTTCAGTCCTGTTAGAAGATGTCGATAGATGCTAGAGAACTTGGCATTGATGGATAATCCAGCTCTATTATCAAGATGATGCAGTTACTTTACGGATATACCCTCTCTCTAAAGGATACATTTCACTTCCAGAATATGTCTAAATGTAGATTTCGTGCATGAGTCAGTTTAATGAATACACATGTTGTACATTTAAATATGTGACGTATTGAGATCAAAAGAACTTACAATCCAAATGCATCGGTACCGAAACCTTTTCAACTTTAGCTCCAGCCTTTGTTAATGTCTGGGCAGCCTGTTCTACCAATTGAGCGACGTCTTGTTCCGTACAAAGTGAGAAACCTTCTTGTAGCAGTCCAATCTTTTTCCCGCTGATACCTTTATCTAACTACACAATAAATGAATGAAATGGAGGTTAACGCCCCACTTTGCTGCAAACTACAGATATCAATTTGTCTAAATATTTTCAGTATCAGTTGTCATTTTCAGCATAATGTATTATATATGTAATTAGTTTCTTTCTAAGCTTAATGGGTGGGGTGGGGGTTGGATGGCCGAATGGTTAGCACATGCGCGCTGTATCATAAGGCCTGTCATTGAGTCAACTGGCGTGGTTTCGAACCCCCGTCTGTACGTGACAAGGATTAGGGTCGCCTGTCCACTGATAAAGACCCCTACGCGCAAGCGAATTATTGAAAAAAATTAAACCATGTTAGTCCCGAAATGACATAGTTTGTGTCGAGTGGACGTTAACCCCCCCCCCCTCTCCCTCTCTACCTCTCTCTCTCTCTATCTGTCTCTCTCTTTCTCTCAGCTTAATGCAAATATCTACGTGGCAGGGGAGACAAACATTAACTTACTAAAGTGGTATATGGTTCAACTTTTAAATCACGTGGTTGTCGTGGATCTCGTCCTTCATCGTAACCAGCGAGAACCTGAAACCAAATAATATATGCAATTACAGATACACCGTGGCCGTAATAGTAATTGGTGTAATGTTTTTATTTGTATTCTAGCACTTAACGAATTCCAATGCCTAGACATCTTTTACTTGTTTTTCATATTGTCATTTATTTTGCCTCAGACAAAATCAACTGGTTGATTTTTTTTTAATTTACCATTAAATACCATTCTTGCAGTTTCTAACCTCATATAATCCAAATCAACATTTTATATGAATACAGTGAATATTTTAAAGCAAACCATATGAATAAATAAACATTTATCTTTTCTAAAGAGTTAAGCAGATGATCTTCATAAACGAAATTAGTCAAGGTACTGATATTACGAAATTATACACCACGTTTTTTCATTGTTACTCAAGTAGACTCAGCGTTACCGTGTTACAAAGCATCGGTAAATCAAACTGCTTATATCTGTTCAGCCTTAACCGAGAAACCAAGTCAAGACGGTCAACCAATGAACATCTACACCAAGTTTTAACATATTACAGAATTATTGTCTTCCAAAATGTTTGAGCGACAATCAGACAGTACCACGAGTCAGTGTTAATAGTCCGACGCTTTCGCCATAAGGCAGTGACAATAAATAAAACCCACCTCTAAGAGAAGAGCACAATCGTGAACATTGGCTGCCATTGGTCCGAGATGATCAACTGTAAGTTCTATAGGCATGGCACCAGTATATGGTACAAGACCCCAGGTTGGTTTTATTCCTACTATACCTGACCATGATGCTGGTATTCTGATGGAACCACCTTGATCACCTCCAATAGCCAGATCTACCACCTTGCCAGCCACCTTAAAATTATAAATAAATCATGTTTAAAAACTATTTCTGGTCACTAAATATATAATGGTGACAATATTTACATTGTTTTAAAAAATCCTATCCCGTTAACATTAAATACAGCTATTTTATTTTATCAGTTCACTTGTAGGCAAGGGTATTTAAAAATGGGCGGAAGGCGGAAAACGTTGAGAAAATTCATCCTGTTAGGCTATCGACCATCTCCTTTGTCACGTACCCTGGAAATTGTATTGACGAATCGACGGACGTGGACTACATCACAAAAAGGCATGACTATGTGTGTATATATATGTGGGGTGGGGGGGATTTACCAGATAATTTCATACAAGGCAGATTATAACTTTCGTCATTTGAGGGTTCACAAGGGCCTTAAATCTGGAGAAGTAGTTCACAGAAATTGTTGCAATTCGACAGGTTGTTTCGTTGGACTAATTTAAATAATGCATATCAATTCCATACAGATCTTATGATAACCTTTGTCGATCGAGCGTTCAGCAAAGTAAAACAAGGACCATAACTCTACTAGTAATTGACAGAAATTGCTGAAATTCAAAAGGATTCTTTGTTTCACTAATTCATACATATCGAACGATAGCTATTGGCGTTCGAGCGTTCACGAGGTTCAACAAAAGGAAACAAAGACCACTATAGACATAATTAACGGAAATTGCTGAAATTCAATTGGCTTCTTCGTTTCACTAATCTAATTGATGCATAGAGCTCGGATGTTTACTTTTGTCATTAGAGCGTTCACAAAGTTCAACAAAGTGATACAAGGGCCACAACTCTAGACGTTATTAACAGAAATTGCTCAAATTCAATAGGATGGTGAATATAATGACGGTCTATTATCAATTTCAAAACGATGGACTGTTGAATCGTCTAAATTATTAACGGCAGATCGACGGTCATAATAAATACATCAAGTAAAACTGACCAGGGCTGCGCTGCCTGAACTAGATCCACCAACAGTTCTGGTCTCATCAACCGGATTCCTCACTGGCCCGCTAGAACAGGTACTACTACATCCACTGAAGCACTGGTCCTCACACGCTGTTTTACCCAGAATTCTTCCCCCTAGACATCACATTATATTATACATATTACATACAATGGCATTACATATTATATTAAATGTATTAGATATCATATTGAACACATCATATTAAATACACCAGATATCATATTCAGTGTATCAGATACCATATTAAATATATGAGATATCATATTAAATATATCAGATATTTTAAATATATCAGATATTTTAAATATATCAGATATTAAATATGTCATATTAAATATATCATATAAAATGTATCAGATATCATACTAAACTTATCAGTCACATACTAAATGTGTCAGATACATACGAAATTAAATGTATCAGATATCATATTAAAATGTAATGTATCAGATACATTAAAAGGAATTTATCAGATATTATATTAACTACAAAGAATATTAAATATACCATATACAATGTAATATGAATCAGATATCATGTAAAATGAATAAGATATCATGTAAAATGAATCATGTAAAAATGAATCAGATAAATGCTAGGTATCAGATATCAAATTCAATAAATCACATATATTCGAATGTTTATTATGTCACATTCATTGTAGCATAGTAGATATCACAATTTATTTAATGTAACAAACAAACACGGTCGTCCAGTGACCAGTTCACAAGGTCCAAGACGTTTGTTATAAAATGTTGTAATAAAGTAAGTCTTACCAGCGTCTAGGACTCTAGTGACGACTGTAGCATCAAATTCTGGTACATAACCTTCCAATATTTTACTACCATTCATCATAGGTACTCCTGCTACGGCAATGTTGTCTTTAATACCCACAGTTTTACCTGCCAATTTACCTGTAGACGCACCTTTGATATCACATTTCCAACTCCTGATAATATATCAATGTGGAAAATGAAATGAAATGAAATGGGGTTTAACGTCCTACTGTTCTGCTCCTAAACTGGGCTAATGAAGACGGACATACACCATACAGTGTGCTTTGAGGGAAATTTTGCCCGGCCTACTCTTATATCCAATTCCAACTGCCAAGGGATCTTTTACGTGCACGCCAATATGTAGGTCATACGTCTTTTTAGTAACTAAAAACTAACCGTTGCAGATTTTGGTATAAAATCACGGTTTTGTTTTAATTTAATACCGTCAAATACCAAAAGTGACCAATTTACGAGAAATCAATGTCGAATTTTAATTATTTTATAAGACAAATCCTATATAGTCATTGTTTTGTTTGTATTTAATATTCAAATTTCTTTTCAAATCTGTTTTCAATAAAACATTTTTTGTGAAGGTCAACTATAATATGGAGTATGAAAGCTTATAACAGTGTTGCAGCTTCCAGGAATCAATTTATTATATTAATGATCGACAATTTACAATAATATGGGATATGAAAGCTTACAACCGTGTCGAAGTTTCCAGGAATCAATTTATTATATTAATGACCGACAATTTACTATTAATTATATTACCATGCATTATATGGGTTGTCATTTTCTGCTGGTCTGTAACCTGGAACTCTTGGATATTTAACCGGAAGTGCGGGTTCTGGAAGTTCTGATAAACGTTGGAAGGAAGTTGCTGTATTTTTAAATTGAGCTAAAATTTAAAATATTTTGTATATCAAGCACTGTTCCTCTCTTACTCGACACTTAAACCGATTACTTTGAAATTCCGAGGTATGGGAGCGAAAGGGTGACGATGAAATGCTGTGGAATGAGACCACTTTTAGAAGTGTCAATGAAATGAGCACCTCGGTGAAATTTTTATAACACTTGAAAAGACGTGTTGTTGGAATTGGTTCTAAAGTGTGGTAGCAATGAACACTTCAGAAAAGGAGGGGAAATGGCGTTTAACTTCCACTCGACACAAACGTGCTCCTTCCGGGACTAACATATGGTTCAATATTATTTATATTATTCACTTGCGCGTAGGGGGTCTTTAGCAGTGGGAGGAAACCGGAGGGCTCGAAGAAAACACACGAGGCTGGACAGGCGACCCTACTTCTTGTCACGTACAACCCGTGAATCGAACCCACGCCAGTTGACTCAATGACAAAACGTACGATACAGCGCGCACGCGCTAACCATTCGGCCATCCAACCCCCACACTTCAGAGGAAGTGAACATTTGGTAAGGGGTGCTTGTGTGTTAATATCTACTCTGCACAAATCAGGTTATTTCGGAACTAGCATACACTAGGGAAATAAAGCTCTCATGTAATTTATATAACTAGTGTCTTCAATAGTATATGTAACTACTATATTATGATTTTACGGTATACATCAATATCAATTTAGTCCCAAAATGACCTAGTTTGTGTCGAGTGGACGTTAAACCCCATTTCTCTCTCTCATCAATATCAAAATCAACCAAATGAAATGAAATAACAGATGGTGAATATTTTATTACAACAAGCAGTCTAAAAATACATAAACTTGTCTTCTTGCGATAAAGCTAACCAATCAATATTACCTGGCAACCGTCATTACATTAATACTAATGAAGCCGAAGACAATTCACATTATGTATAATAAATGAATGATAAAACATGTATATTATGTCGATAAATGTCACACCATTTGAATACGCTTATGATCGAGGAAATGACAACTGGAAAGTAAGATAAGAATGTGAGAGAGGGAGAAATGAAATGAGGTTTAACGCCCTACTTTCCAGCACCATCCGGGATATTATAGAGAGGGAGAAATGGGGTTTAACGTCCACTCGACACAAACTAGGTCATTTCGGGATAACATATGGTTCAATTTTATTTCCATAATTCGCTTACGCGAAGGGGTCTTTAGCAGTGGGGGGAAACCGGAGGACCCGGAGAAAACCCACGAGGTTGGACAGGCGATCCTACTCCTTATCACGTACAACCGGGGATTCGAAACCACGCCAGTTGACTCTACGACAGACTTTATGATACAGCGCGCACGTGCTAACCATTCAGCCATCCAACCCCCCTTCAATATAAGGCTAGATCTCGCCTTAACTGCGTAGTAGATGTTGTAAAACTCGTGGTCGTTGCTTCAGGAACATGGAATTCCCGTAGTGCAGGACGGAGAGCCTGGCAAGTACGGATAGTACGAAAATCTGAAATCCCGTGTAAGCCGTATAGTCGCTGCTCGGGCAATATTTCCTTCATAAGACGTTAAACCACATTGCATTGCATATATACACATGCACATAAAATATGCACACGAATTGTATTATGATTGCGCTAGATTATCAAAACAAATATTTGTAACATAATCAATCAAGTCTACCTGTTATAGCCTGTATTTCTTCTGTTGTACATTTTAAATTTAATTCTTCTGATAATTTCTGTAAATCATCTTCGGTAGGTGGACAAACAGCTGGTGATTTATAGAAACCTACAAGTATACATAGAAATCTTTAATAAATTTATATAAACCTATAAGTATGCATATACAACTAATAAATTATTAGTGCACTATCATTGGGGCTTGTTGGGATGACAAGCTAAAATTGTTTACAATATCATGCCATACTCTCTACATACTTGATCACGGATTCTCTTTATTAACCTATCCGCGCGGTGTACCTGAACTTCAGAAACCTGGTTTTCCAATATTACTACCTATGGGCATTTAACACCAACGAAGAAGATCTTCAAGTACAATAGCTTGATAATAAGAAGCCGTTTTTTAAATCCCCACATGCGTTCAACAAAATCGAATACACCTGTATATCTGAACTAAATGATGTTTCCGAATAGCGCTAAATCACATAATAGATCACTTTTCCAATTTACCAGAGAAAATGTTTGGAGTGTTCTATTTAAAGAAATGATTCAAACACAAAATCACATATGTCACGTCCTATTATTTTGACCCCGTATGTTCTTATCTTATGACCTGGGCATTAGAGGCTATAATATGCCCTTTAATACTAACTTCAAGTAGTTTGGATTACCTGTGTCAACTTCAACCGGGCACTTTTATTACACACGAGATATGATTAACCAGATCCATAATTATATAGAGCGAGTCAGACCAACTACGGCCACGGTCGCCATTTTGTGACCCAAGTTACCCAGTGACAACGAACAGATTGATAGTTCTACCTAAGATATAGTGGTTAAGGGGCAGTAACTGTGTAAGAATATGTAATGGTATGGCCACAGATCACTAAATATTTGCCCATTGACTTTAATGTTAATTCTCGTCTCTTAGACCGGCTCTAATTTTCGTTGGGTAGAACGCTTTCTACCACAGATGGAGCAACATGTGGCAACCTCTTGCCCAAAAGCACGTATGGGGTTCACTTGAGATACACAAGCTGGAAGTAGAGACAAGAAAACATACAATTTTGGACCCTATATTTTAACCTAACCAACCTCTCAACTCTTGTATCCTTCCGCTTCAAAATCATGAATATTCACCAAAACCTGGTAGAAAATGTATTTTCAAACCTTTTTCTTCGATTCTACACCAAAAAGTCAACAAAAATCGCCATGCAAAAGGGGGAAAAGGGAAAGGGAGAGAAAGACTAAAAATAACTTTCGACCTACATTCGTGGGTGACGGCGTAGAAATATTTGGTGAGCTGTGTCCGTATAGCTCTAAGATTAGATATTTTGTTACTCGATCACAAGTAAGACAACTAGTTGTTGGTTCAACAGTATCTATATATGATACATGTGGGTATGTGGTTGACATATGATATATCTAAGATAGATTGCTATTTTACTACATACTACTGTTTCATTTGTCTTTGAAGCAAATTTTAAAATTTATAATATAAATGTTGTGTTGTACACTTGAGCGACATGAAAGGTTGTCTTTGTCTCATGAATAACATTACTACCTGCGACGCGTTATTTTCAGATATATGTTTGCAATAGTAACCGAATACTAATAAGCCCATTTATATCCCATGCGTGTAAATTTTGCATTAACCCTGAATTAATTACACCACAGAGTATAAATTTCAGTGTAATCGTCACACTTTAAGATTATGTTATCAATTATTACAGTCGCACCCACATTTTTGTTGACCTGAACACTGTCCACATATTAATCCAAAGTCTGTATACGGTTGATCTTTGATATTTTGAGATACACAAATTTGAGGTAGCCTAGTACCGTAACCAACCTTAAATCTGTCAGATAATATCAATTCTAACCAGGAACTACATTCGAACCGAGATAGAGAAATTAATTGGTGGTCTGCATCCAATGGTAGTACTATATGTATGACACGTCATATGAGATTCCCTACAATTTTATTAATCTCTTTAACCCACTAAAATCGATCGTCAAGGCAGTGGCTCTATATGTGTTTTTTGACTTTTGATAAGAGATCTTAATCAAATTTGGTGGCAACTACATGTAACTGAAACCCTATGCATGTAGATATACATGTACTATACTGTTCATGTGGATGTATTACTTGTGCGTTCATGTATGTGTTGTCTATGTAATATGCATTATTAAATGTATATGACTATGTCTAAATGTATATGTATGCATTCTGTCCATAATGGACGTTTTGATGCAATAAACATCTTATCTAATCTAATCTAGACTATTAATATTTCTTATTTTGTTACCAGGAATGTGGTAATTTGTGTTAAGACTTTGGTGTTGGGTCGACGAAAGTGGGTTTATTTTTGGTGAATAATTAATGATTTTAATGCAGAAGGATAACATATATTGACGCATATATTAACTCAAGATTTTCATGGTGAACCTTATACATGCTTTTAAGTAAGACGTCGCCAAGAGCAGATTTAGTTCTTGCATATTGCATATGCGTATATACCAAAATCACTTTCGTCGACTCTACATCAAAGCTTCTATAGATTTTAAAACATTTGCAGAATGCTATAGTATTTCTCTAGATATAAAACCTCCAACATGTAGGTAATGCTACAGTATTTGTTCTGTATTTGGGGCTAATATTTACTACAAGTCACTCCCACCCCCGCGCCCCAGCTCCGCCCTAAAGAAACAACATTGAAACAAATCAAAGTCTGTAGACTACGACTGTATTTCAGTATTTCATTCTGTAGAAAATGGGATGCGCCCCCCCCCCCCCAATACCCTATCGAAAACTACACTGGTATTCAATAGGACGTTTTGCTTTGGGTAAATATTACCCGGGCCATGCATGTGTTAGTATTACTGTATTACTATGTATTGTTTAATGGTCGAGAGCGAGACATTAAGTAATATATTGTAACAACATGAGGGCCGTAGGTATGGTGGCTGATAGTGGCCATGTTAAATCTCGCCCTTGGCGCAATCATACGACACTTAACTCTGTCGTATCATCGTGTTATTTTTATCCTAACGTCGAGATGTCGACTTATTGGCATAGTCTCTTTCTACAAGTCACAAAAATACAGCTGTACTCATTACACTCATTACATCAGATTAGATACAATAAGACTCGTCAAAAGAGATAACAGGAAAGTGTTGATTAATTATTCGTTTTCTCAAAATAATGAAACATTTTGCGCCCAAAATTGAATTATTGGTATTATATTCAAAAAATCTAGAATTATAATAGCAGGACAAAAGTGAGTCAGCTATGTTAATTCCTTGAATAAGAAGTGGTGTCGGTAGGTATCGAACAAGCATGCATTGCCTCGTGTACGACACCCACCGATACTTAAAGATTACTGAAGCGATAGTTTAGAAACGATTTTAGAAGATTTCCAATTTATTTTATTAGAGTGGGAAGGGGATTATATAAAACCTCAAATCAGATCACAGAAAATCACTGCATTGGTGTAGCACGCCATCCCAATAAGTGCAGGGGAGGTTTTTTATGAGGTGAAGAAAGCGATTTGCAGCTGTTATTGACCTTATCGCGTATTCATCCGTTTGGCATCACTAATGGGATCGGGGCCTAGATGATTAAAAATAGGCCCAGTATTGCCTTCAGCTATGAACACACTCCGAAAGTCCCCTACGCACCCCCCCCCCCTCTTATTTTGTTTAACAAATAATTTCGGAATCAATAAAATGGCAGGTCCCTATCAATGATGTTTGATACGACTGGAAATTAATGTGTCTAAAATTGATTAAACAACATAGGGTAGTAAATATTACATTTCGAATCCGTATCAATGATACATTTACTCAAAATGTTCCTTCTAATGGATCACCATTTAACTTGAAAACAAGGGAAGCAGCCGATCGAAGAAAAAAAGATTTTAAAAAAACAAGTTTCAATATGACAGTCGTGGTTCGGTCATGCATTTACATCCGTGGGTGTCATCCTTTCTTTGAAAGTAATGATTGTGCCAAATTTGAACAAAGTCCATCTAGATTCGCGGCCTGTAGGTAAAGTGTTGACAGATAAAACGAAAAAAAAAAACAGACCTATAAAAATATATTTTCTAAAACTATTTTAATTTTGAAATTATATTATTTTCACATTTGCCAAGCGTTTTAGCGAATAGTTATAGAACGGGCCTTGTCGATTAAGACTATAGCGCATGTGCAATGTGCAGTTTTAAACTTCCGAGACGACAAGTCGACAAGTCGATGATACGACAGTTTCGCTTTTTGTCGTGCCGTCGTATCATCGACTTGTTGTGGCGATAAGTCGATGATACGACGACACGACAAAATTGGGTCGATGACACGACAAAATCACGCGATCTTACGACAGTTTGTTCTGTCGTAAGATCGCGTGATTTTGTCGTAAGATCGTGTGATTTTGTCGTGTCGTCGTATCATCGACTTACAGTGGCGATAAGTCGATGATACGACGGCACGACAAAATCACACGATCTTACGATAAAATCGGGCGATCTTACGACAGAACAAACTGTCGTAAGATCGTCTGATTTTGTCGTATCATCGACCTTATTTTGTCGTGATGATACGACAGTACGACAAAACACTAAACTGTCGTATCATCGACTTTTTGACTTGTCGTCTCGGAAGTTTAAAACTGCACATGCGCTATAGTCTTTATCTACAAGACCCTTCTATAAATAAAAAAACAAAACTGACACAGTTATATGGGACAACAATCACTGTTTTATTATACACAAGCACAACGTTTCGATAAGTATTCTCTTATTGTTATCATTGTGCTTGATAACGATAAGAGTATATTTATCGAAACGTTGTGCTTGTTTGTAATAAAACAGTGATTGTTGTCCAATATAACTGTGTCAGTTTTGTTATGTTTCCAATTGCTAAATGCCACTAAAGGATTATATTACCTTCTATAAATATTCGCTAAAACACTTAGCACATGTGAAAACAATATAATTTCAAAATTAAAAGAGTTTAAGAAAATATATTTTTATAGGTCTGGGGTTTTGGGGGTTTTTTGGGGTTTTTTTTTTTTACATTTGATCTGTCAACACTCTACCTACAGGCCGCGAATCTAGATGGAATTTGTTCAAATTTGGCACAATCATTACTTTCAAAGAAAGGGTTGCACTCTCGGAGGTAAATGCATGACCGAAGCACTACTGTCACATTGAAACCTGTTTTTTTTTTTAAATCTGTTTTCTTCGATCGACTGTTTCCCTTGTTTCAAGTTAAATGATGATCTATTGCAAAAAACGTATTGAGTAAATCTACGCTATCACTAATACGGATTCAATATGTAATATTTCTCATTACTACCTATGTTGTTTAATCAATGTTATACATGTTATTTTTCAGTCGTATCAAACATCATTAATATCATTTTATTAATTCTGAAATTATTTGTAAAACAAAATAAGAGACGTGGGGAGGGGGGCGTATGAGGCTTTCATAGTGTGTAATCATCTAGGCCTCGATTTAATTGTTTTTGGTGCTTGATATTTTGCGGGGGAGTCGCAGTGTAATAATATTTCTCATGTTTAATCAATTTTTGACATATTATATTCCAGTTGTATCAAACATCATTGATACCATTTTATTGATTCTGGAATTATTTGTAAAACTAAATAAGAGACGTGGAGTGGGGGGGGGGGGTATGAGGCTTTTATAATGTATTCATAGTTGAAGATATTACTGGGCCTATTTTTACTCATCTAGGCCCCAATCCCATCAGTGATGTCAAACGGATGCAAGCCTATATGCGATAAAGTCAATAACGGCTGCGAATCGTTTTCTCCACCTCATAAAAAAACTCCTGCATCTATTTGGGTGACGTGGGGGGGGGGGGGGGTATGAGGCTTTTAGAGTGTGTTCATAGTTGAAGATATTACTGGGCCTATTTTTACCCATCTAGGCCTCAATCCCATTAGTGATGTCAAATGAGAGAGAGAGAGAGAGAGAGAGAGAGAGAGAGAGAGGGGGGTTTAACGTCCACTCGACACAAATTAGGTCATTTCGGGACTAACATATGGTTTAATTTTATTTCAATAAATCGTTTGCGCGTAGGGGTCTTTAGCAGTGGGAGGAAACCGGAGGACCCGGAGAAAACCCACGAGTTTTGACAGGCGACGCTACACCTTGTCACGTACAACCGGGGATTCAAAACCACGCCAGTTGACTCAATGACAGGCTGCGAATCGTTTTCTCCACCTCATTCAAAAAAACTCCTGCAACTATTGGGGTGACGTGCTGCACTATGATAATGCTGTGATTTTAAAGAATGTGACCCGATTTGGTTTTTTTACAATCCCCTTCCCACCCTGTCTTCTGAAATCATTTTTAAACTATCGCTCCAGTCATCTATAAATATTGGTGGGTGTCGTACACATGGCAATGAATGCTTACTTGTTCGATACCTCCCGACACCACTTTTTCTTCAAGGAATTAACTTAGCTAACTCACTTTGGTCCTGCTATTGTAATTCTAGATTTTTTAAATATAATACCAAATATAATTCACTTGTGGACACAAAATGTTTCATTATTTTGAGAAAACAAATAATTAATCAACATTTTCCTACTATCTCTTTTATATTTATCAAATCTACTACTTAGGCCTATATATATGATGTAATGAGTACAGCTGTATTTTTGTGACTTGTAGAAAGAGACTAGGACAATAAGTCGACATCTCGACGTTACGATAAAAATAACACGATGATACGACAGAATAAAGTGTCGTATGATTGCGTCAATACTGTCGTGATGTCGTGCTGTCGCGTTATGAAAAGGGCGAGATTTAACATGGCCACTATCAGCCACCATACGTAGGCCCGAATGTTTTTACAATATATTACGCAATGTCGGAAGCTCGAGACCATTAAACATCTTAAAATACTGACACTCCGCACGAGCTTTTACGTCACACTAGTCCAATATCTCACTGGTAGGGTAACCCACCATAAATAAATATCTCCAAATATCTCGACAATTACGCCACAATATTTATATATATACCAAGCCTCAAATCAGTTTCACACAATTATAGTCACTAAATAAACGATCATGTTGTACTTAATAAGCTATGACCATTAATCATGTAGAAATAATAGACTGAAAACTGGTTCCAAGTGTCGTCCATAACATCCAGTCACTTTTGAGTAAAAAATAGGTTACGTGCCCTTGTTTTGAAATTAGTCTCGCTTAACCAGTCTATCGATCATTCTACGTCTGATTGACAGGTCGGGATAATCAAGACTACTTTTTTACGAAACATAACAGAAAGCTAGAACAAGAAATTGAATATAGAAATAAGCACTTTAGACAACTCAACAATTGTTTTAAGAAACTTGTAAAAGTAAAATGAAACATACTGCTAGTATCACGTTCCTGTCTAACCCGAGTGTTTCAGAGATATTATTTGTACTAAACCAAAAGATGCCGCTCTTAACGGTACAGTTAATGATAAAGCAATTTAAAAAATAAAACAAACGTAATTTCTAAAGCTGCTGTAATAACCAAGAAGCTAAATTTTACTGCTATTCAAAATCGTCAACAATAGATTTTTTACGGCTGTAATAGTTGATATATTTGTAGAGAATTGCACGTGCATGGCTATTTATCGACTCAAAGAGAGTGCGGGGTAGTCAGAAATCAGTTCGAGACACGCAACTGAAGCGTGCACATTTAGCCGTGTCGAGACCCACTTTTTGTAGAGTACGCGGGTCATCCTATCACTGGTATGAATAAAGTACTATTGGCAAGTTGCCCGTACGATTATTTGAAATAATGGTACGCCAACATCAAAGGGTGACGTCACATCTGTATTTTAATGAATGTATACTGTTGCGGTTTATTTCTCCAACAGTGACACAGCCTTATTTATGGAGGACATAAACTGATCATAAAATCCCAACTTATCTTCGTTAGAGTATATCAAATGGCGATAATTTATCTAGGGTCGTATATATGGTGTTGTTTTATATAAACACAGTTACATATATGCATTCTCTCGTGTTATCGATTTAGCAAAGATACATACCCTGTCCCGAGGCCATCGTTGGTATAGTTGTACTGTTGTCCGTTCTTTAGTTAGTCGGTCTTCGCTGTGGAGTCCTGAATAACGTTTGCATCTATAACTATAACAGTACACAGTACTTGAGCGTGCAGAATAAAGCCGTTTGAGGTCAAGGACGTTAAAGGTACCATACGGGTCACACGATATATATATATATATATATATATATATTGATACTATATATTACTAGTCTAAAGCTCGTTGCGTGTCAACTTCACATTTATATCGATCCGAATTAAGTTCATTTGCATGCAACATTAATGCCGGAAAAAAAATGTCACAGTTGAATTGTAAGTGTAGAGTTTCAACATTCACAACCGTATCGCTATTTTGCAGTAAATCAATCACGTCTTGCCTAGTTTTCAACACAGGCTTGGCTTTTGCTCTAAACATATTATTTTGACACTCTAGCTCACTGAATTTTTAAAAAGAACCTATCTAATTCGCTTTAATTTTTCGTTTTCTTTCAATGTTCTATTTTTGGCTGATACAAATCGACCCAAGCCGGATGTTTTGAATAGGCTATATATTATTATAAACAGGCTAAATATATCCATTTACTGTAAATAGTATAGTTTATTTATTGCATAACAAATTTCAATAAATATATTAACAGACTAACGATGTGAGGAATTGCTATAAAACTTTATCTAAATATGGCATCATTATAAAATATAATTATGTAACCAAGGGTCATCCAAACATATGAGTTATCTAAATTAAAGAAGTTTCGTAAGAGGCTTAACTTATTGATAAGTCTTATCAATGAAGGTCTATATGTATAGATTAAAGAAGGGGCGTGGCACTTTACTCAGTCGTTTTAATGAAGACAAAATTCCTTTGAGGATTTACAGGGTTTCACTTGTATCTTTCTTAAAGGTTAAGGTGGTTTACGAAAGGTATCTGTCGACTGAATAACCTACTCTATTCAGGCTTGCTCATGTGTCACTGTGCTATTCGGACTTCAATATAGAGTAGGCTGGCCAGTATGACAAGTTTGTTTGCATTGAATGTTCAAATAATTTTGGTATTGATAAGATCACATTTCCCAGAAGCGACCTACCTGAGTTCACAAAGTATGAAATTTTTTGTATTGTAGAAGTTTTTAGTATTGGGACAGTGAATTTCAGTAGTTGTTATCCGTCACACTTCCCACAAGCGACCTACTGTCTGAACATGAACAAACTATTTAACTTTGGTTATTATAAACTTATCTGTGTGTTTGAAATCAACTCCGGTTAAATAAAATCCATTGCACAATTAAATATCCCAAAGGCAACGAATAAAAAAGTTCTCTCTTGAAAAATTGAACTCCCACAAACTTTTGACATTGTAATTGTCTTCACTACAATAGAAAATGCTCTCGGATTAAGATCCGAATTTATCATTATTTGTCAATGTTGTATAAACTTGCAATATTTCTATTTAAAGGGAACATCGCGGATTTTAACAGAGTCTTTGAAACAAAAGTGTACGTATGAAATTTAAGCGCCAAATTTTAAAGGAATAGTGTTATTGCCTTGTCTCAAAATTTCAGTTGATGTCGACATCAAAGTCGCTTTTAAGGGTTGATTCAATTTGTTTTCGTTAGGTGACCTAATATTCTATTGCCGTTCCTTTAAAGATTTATACAATGTATGACCCACGTGCTGTACTTCATAACGAAAGGTACATTTCACCTACACGTTATTCTTTATATAATAAAAGTCTGCTTTTATCCAGACACCATATAATACTGCTTGGGACACCGGTCTCCATTTCCAGATGAAGATTGACGGGTTTAAGTTGTTTGAAAACGTATCAAGCATATTAAGTTAGTTGCTCGTCCCAAAGGTAGGTCATTTTTAGGGCTTTTAACGCAAAATTAAGCAGTTTTATTCACGAAAATATAATCAAGATTGGCCCTTTAAATAAGACCCCAGACCTAGGCCGTTCACATAGAAGATGAAAATGTAATTATCATTTTTAATAAAGTTGTTCGCATCGCCCCGTATTACATGTCATTATATAAACATAAATTGTGTCTATTTCATGTTTCAGTGGAATTTCATTAGCCGTTTAGATACTGCTTTTGCAATTTTTATACATACAACTGAGTGCTAATTACATAAAATTTCATGAGATATATTAAATATTATATCATTTATTATATAAAAATATGAACAATATATTTGTAATTATCAAGCTTCAAAGACCTAAACTTGGTTTTGAACTTGGCTGTTTTTCATTTTTTTCATTTCTTATACCTCTTTGTTGGTAATATTGTGTGAACATATGAAACGGCAACAAAGAATGTAACAAACTATTTTAAAGCAATGAATGTCATTCTAGTTGACTTTGCCTTGTGTTTTTTCTCTACATAAACGCTTGAAAGTGTCACCAAATATGCTGAAGCCAACCCCACCCCTTTTGAAAACTCATGTATCCACCCTTGTGAAAAGGACCGTAGCCAATTTTGGCGGGGGTGAAAATTCAGTAACAAACAAGAAAGGCCGCGGGCTTTTTTCTGTACATTATATCAAGGTTGTAAACTCTCGATTATTGCTTCAGGAACATGCATCCTCGAAAATTTCTTGCACTTTGTTTTGTTTTGTTTTTTTTTTTGGGGGGGGGGGGCTGGCGTAAATCGAAAATATATATAATTATAGATAGACAGCGTAATTTGAGAATGCGCGAAGAGTGTGTGTGAATTATGGAGAAAGGGGAATGCATGGGGTTGAAAATAAATAAAGGGAGCTTAGTGGGCAAGATCCTGACTCGCTAACCAGGAGATTTATCTGGATTATCCTGTCTGGTTGGTTACCCTTTGTCAGTGGTGCAGAACGTAAGGTGCGAAAAATCCATTACAGTCGGAATTCGAAATAAGAATAATCCGTAGTGCTGCTGTCCTTGATAAAATACTCTGATGGCAAACTGTATTAGCCCGTTAAACTCCATTTCATTTCAAAATAAATGTCGTTTCATGCTTATTTAGTTCACAACTGCATAACTGAATGCATCATAATGGCATATCCATGGACGTAATCCTTTCTTCAACTACCCCGCTGAGATGACAAATATTTGGGGTGACTTTGTCAAAGATTAAGTACAAGTCGACGTTCCAGAATATCACATTTTATGGTATACTCGAACAATGATTAACTCAATGATTAGGCTAATCAAGTTTATATAAATCTTAGTTTAAAATTTAGTCCGCTTTCCAGAAAATGACTGGTCAGAAAATCAGAGATTAAATCTATGATTAGCACTAATCTACCTTCGAAAATATGGGCCTAAGCGTCTACAGACAGTAGGCGTGCCCTGTTCACACTGTGTCTCCCTTGCTCGATTGTTTAATTTTAGTCCTTCCTTAAACTTATAACTTTACGAATTCAATATTTATATATTATTCTTTTCGTATCGTTTATTAAGACGCATGGACGCGTCTTTTCTAAAACAGAGGAAATTATAATGGTGTGATAATCTGTCAATCGCTAACATAATCAATGTTTCTTAAATCAACCGCTTTAAGATTAACTATCACCACTTTTCAAGCCGTCATTGGGTAACGACGTTAATCCCATCTATTGTTTTTGTTGATTTATTATATCGTTTAAAGGGACAATAACACTCTTGCTGGCTTGAAAGCTCCAGAAAATAAATAATATCTCTATCTAAGTACTAGATGTTTAAGTGTCCTACCTGTTGTGTAAATTATCCATTACATCCTATTTTACTTGTCCAGAGGGTTCGAAAATAATTTTAAATCTAAGTTTCATTTGAAAAGGTTTACGTTAGACCTTTTAAACCATTATGTTGAATTTTTCAAAATTTTTAAATAAGGTGTGTTAAGATGAAATTTGTATCATCAATTAATTGAAATATTCTAAAATAGGACAATTTGTTGACCAGAATAAAGATTGGGACATATTATTCAGTTACAACAAGAGTGGTATTGAGCCTTTAATCTTTTATGCATTGTTCATCTATCGACATATCAGTTTTAATTACAATATTTACCTTTATCCTATTATCTGATTTTCCTTAAATATAACAAAATTTGTACATTGAAGGCAGTCACTAGTTAGGATACCTTACTAAGTTCAGTAACTGGCCTGTCAGTACTGTATGACGGTATATGTATATTTATGTTCCGGTATATTAAAGAATTGAAGAATCATTCGAAGTCTGTTATATCCGAAGAGAGAATTTACAGCTCTAAAGTACTGTATTCCATTAGATTTTTTGCTACAGTGTTTTTGGTCTGTGGTACAATGACATTGGATCTATTCAACTGATCTTTCATCCAGGTCTTTTCTTATGTTCAAAATACCCCCACATTTTGCTAGAGATCTAGAGGGTCAACAACCTTGGTATTAGCGTACGAGGAGCGGTCATTTTGTCGGGCAGCTTTGATCCGATTTTCTCGAAATTCAAACTTAGCCGTCACTAGGGTTTAACTGTGATTTTAACTGTTTTTAAAAATCGAATAACAGTTGTGACATGTAGGATCGAGAGACCACCATCTAAATCGCGATTGTTCGTACCATCATTAGTCATAATCCAGGAAGTTACAGTCTGATGTGCGCGAATATCGAAGGGACCGAGAACTTTGGGATAGACACATATATTTTAAGTTGCATCAAAATCGTATAGGATTCCAAATAATGGGATGTGTGACAGTGGTATCGTTCCGTTCTCCACTAACCTCTGGTTCCATCAACGGAGGAGACACGTAATCAAATTATCCGCCCTTGATAATTCTGCTATTTTTATCGACTAATCGAGTGGGTGAAGGGAAGTAACTCGCATTTTATTGAAACTAAGATTATTGTGCTGAACGTAAACAATGAAGCTAAGACTAATGTGTAAACTGTTTTTTGATTTGTTCGAAGAATCAAGCTACGATCAAGGGCAGATAATTTGAATTCCCAAAAGCCCGTGGATTGACCCAGAGGTTAGTGGAGTAGAATGGAACGATACCACTGGGAATCATACTGTCATGAGCATCAGATCTCAGGATGCAACACTAAACAAGAACTAGACACTATCCTGGCCCTTTTTTATACGTGGCCTTAGCTTCTGGCTTCACTTCACGTGTTCTGTTCAGTAGATAAAACTGTTGAACACTGTTTTGTTCTAAACTCCTTGTTAACACATAAATACAGGAAAACTATAACAATTATGAAATTACAAAATCTATTACAAGTTATTATCTGTAGGGTGCGGTTTCGATACTGCGCTTGTACCTGACTACCAATAGACTAAGGGATAAGTCGCCTGACTAACTTCGTGGGTTTTCTCCGGGTCTCCCGGTTTCCCCTCACTGCTACCCGAGGCTATATTTTGATCACCGACATTCTAACGGCATTGACCGAATATGTTTTGCAGGGTTATTAATTAGCCTAAATATATCCCCAATTGAAAAAGAATACCTTCACGAAGTGTCTGTATCCAGCAAATACACTATTATATCTATGTCTACTCCTGATAACTAAGTAGAATATATTATTTATAACCTATAGACGTTATACCCAAATACACGTTCATTACAACCCCTGAAATCACTACTTTAACACTACGTGTTACACCCGTGTCGTTATAAAACGCGCTTGGTATATTTTGATTTATCAATCAATACAGGTGATATTTCATATTAAACTATGTTTTTAACTAAAAGTCCGTGTACGTATGTAATATAGAGGACTGGTGTATTTACCTTGTCTCAAAATTTCAGCCCAAAATATTGAGTCGTTTGGACGTGAACGTCAAAACTGCTTACCCGGACACGTTACCCTTTTAAGATTTCGGGTCATTTGTTTTGGTTGGGTGACCTGATAATCTATTGCCGTTCTTTTAGAGGTCTATACGGTGCATGGCCCACATGCTGTACTTGATAACGAAAGGTAAATTTCACATACACCTTATTTTTATAACATAAAAGTCTGGTTTTATCCAGACACAGCATAATACAGCTTGGGACACCGGTCTCCATTTCCAGATGAAGACTGACAGGTTTAAGTTGTTTGACAATGTGTCACATATATGGAGTTAGTTGTTCGGCCCTTATGTGCACGATTTTAAGCAATTTTAACACAAAATTAAGCAGTTTTATTCTCCAAACTATAATCGAGATTGGCCCTTAAAGTAATTGTTTTCATGTCCAATTGTTGGTCTACTCGAATATGATGCAATAGATACCCCTTTTTGACACCCATGCTTATAGTAATGTTATGCTAATTATATTTTATTATACCCCTAAAATAGTTATATCTTTCAATATTCTGAAAAACGGAAAATATAAAACTAAACTAAATCTTCGCCGTCCTTCTCATTTTCCATCTCGAATTTTCTCAAACGCCCGTGCCACTTGTAAAACTGTTGTTTCATCAAAATGACGTCCCATGATCATCATACCAACCGGAAGTCCTTCAATATTTCCCGCGTTTATAGAGAGTGCGGGATGACCAGTTGAGTCGGCTGCTGCTGTATTAATAAGCATCGTTGATGCTGTCTCAATGTAATCTGGAATAGAAACAACATCTTCATCGTTCATCATCATCGTTATCATCATCCTCATAACAACAAGACAACAGCGTGGCTGCTGTCTGTCCCGCTCCACGCCCAATTAGAATCAAAGTCATCGTGTTCCAAAGCCCCAATCAGTCAAATTGCCTCTATGCACATCCAAGCTATCACAATAAAGAAATCTCTACTTACCAGTCGTTGAGCAATCAGCTTGTAGAAGTTTTGTTGCCTTATATGGTAAAGTTGGTAGAATTAAGACATCATATTCTTGTAGAACTTTATCATAGGCTTGGGTTAATACCGTTGTCAGGTTCTGGCCTTTCGCATAAAATTTATTACCATAATTTCTGTTCATATATTCTCCAGTCAAACACAGCCTTTTAACAGCTTTAGAATTATCATACGGTCGAGTTCTGTGCCCCCGGAAAAATGCTTCCTGTAGCGACGTTGCGTAATACCCTTTCCATTGGTAGCCGTTTCCTGCAATTAAAAAATTACTTATATGTCATAATTTTGAAAATCACGAATGCAACCGCTGAAATCATGTTACGGGTCAATTGTTTTCAGTCACTGATTCAAAAGTTATTTTAATGCTCAACGTAAACGTTGCAGTCGGAATATCCCATTTCATTTTCGCCATTAAAATCTCAAACCCAGAACTAGGTATTCGACTAGTATCCAGTGTGGGTTGAAAATAATATTCGTGATCAGCACTAGCTGTATGGGTGGTGTGGCAATCTCCAGTGGGCCCTGTTACAAGAATCTTGAATCTTGCGAGATGGAAATCGTAGAATGCGCAGCAATGCCTTGCACATGGTGGTGGTAGATACTCTAAGTTAGTATCCGAATGATCTGAGTATTCGGAACTTCCTACTGTTTTGCTCCGAACTGGGCTAATGAAGACGGGCATACGCCATGCAGTGTGCTTTGAGGGAAATTTTTCCCGGACAGCGGCACTACGGCCTACTCTTATATCGAATTCCAACTGTCAAGGGATCTTTAACGTGCACGCCAATGTGTACACGGGACCTCGCTTTTTCGTCCCTTCCGAAGGACTAGACAGCTGTCCTTGTCAGGCCCTCCGTCCTGCATCACTGACAAGGGGGAACCACACCGGAAAATCTGGATGAACTTTCTCGCTGAGTATTCGGTAAAGAGATTTTATTCCCATTACACCAGTGACTGGAACAATACAAGACAGTTTAAATACAGCTCAACGCTTACAGATTACTAACCATTTCCAAGGATCATGTTATTGTATGCCCCCTGCATGGCCACTCCTGTCCAAATGGCCAATGCTGAAACATATCAAACAAGGTATTTAAAGATACATTATGTAAGATTTAAATGAAGAGCTAACCATTCCTGCTATAATAGTTCGAAAATTGATAATGCAAAATTAATATTTTGAATATTCCAATCAAATCGAAGCTAAGCCTCACTTCTTCAGTTTTTAATTAAATCACAATATGGCTGAACCGTTCTAATCTACATAATATTCCAGATACCCGATGACATCGACAGTTGATTATGATCTTGTCATGTTAATTAATGTTTAATTAATAGTTAATATAACATTTCAGGCCTAAAGAAAGACCCACAATAGGCAGATTTAGCTTTGAATAATGTATGTGGAATTACTAATTTACTTTGATGAGATGTTTGAGATATCAGTCAACAAAAGCAATGGCCATAACTCTAAATTTCTGGTGATAAGAAAGGTATGGATAGATGTTAGTGAAGTTAGCATATAACATGGATGGATAAATAAAATAAGGTTTAAAGGGATTGTCCCGATTTGAACAGAGTCTCAAAAATAAAAGTCTGAATACGTATGAAATTTAAGCGCCAAAATATAGAGGAATGGTGTATTTACCTTGCCTCAAAATTTCAGCTCAAAATATAGAGTCGTTTGGGCGTGAACGCCAAAACTGCTTATCCGGACACGTAACCCTTTTAAGATTTCGGGTAAATTTTTTCGTTGGATGGCCTGATAATCGATTCCCGTTCCGTCAAAGGTCTATACAATGAATGGCCCATGTGCTGCACTTGATAACGAAAGGTAAATTCCACCTACACATTATTTTTATAAAATAAAAGTCTGGTTACATCCAGACACCGCATAATACAGCTTGGGGCACCGGTCTCCATTTCCAGATGAAGACTGACGGGTTTAATTTGTTGGAAAACGTATCTCATATGTTGAGTTAGTTGCTCGGACCTAAGGTAGAGAATTTTAAGGGATTTTAACACAAAATTAAGCAGTTTTATTCTCCAAAATATTATCGGGATTGGCCCTTTAAGTTCCTGCTTTTTTGCACCGACTGAGCTATAATCTCACCCACATGAGGCAGTTTCTATCCTCACAAGATACATATTAAGAGCAAGGTGTTTTACAATTAGCATAGGGGGGTTGGATGGCTGAATGGTTAGCGTGCGCGCGCTGTATCATAAAGTCTGTCATTGAGTCGACTGGCGTGGTTTCGAATCCCCGGTTGTACGTGGCAAGGAGTAGGGTCGCCTGTCCAACCTCGTGGGTTTTCTCCGGGGCCTCCGGTTTCCTCCCACTGCTAAAGACCCCTACGCGCAAGCGAATTATGTAAATAAAATTAGTCCCGAAATGACCTGGTTTGTGTCGAGTGGACGTTAAACCCCATTTCTCTCTCTCTCATATATGTTGCGCTTAAAGTGTCTTTCGTGCATCATGAGGCAGTTTAATGATTACACGTGTTATACATATTAAAACAAAAGATTTTACAATCTAAATGTGTGACGTGTTATGATCAAGAGAACTTACAATCTAAATGCATCGGTACCGAAACCTTTTCAACTTTAGCTCCAGCCTTTGCTAATGTCAGGGCAGCCTGTTCTACCATTTCAGCGACATCTTGTTCCGTACAATTGGAGAAACCTTCTTGTAGCAGTCCAATCTTTTTCCCGCTGATACCTTTATCTAACTACAATACAATGAATGAATAAAGGAGGAAGGGAGGAAGACGGGAATGAATAAAGGAGTGAATGAAGGAATTAATGAGGTTTAACGTCCTAACGTCTGCAAACTACAGTCTCAAACCAAAAAGTTCCAGTGTATACCATTTTTAGCATATAAATGTATTATGTATGTAATTAGTTTCTTTATATGCTTAAATATAAATATATTACAGGCCGTGGGGGGGGGGGGTCTAGAGCAAAGCGAGACAAGGTGGCTAAGAGGGTAAGACGCTGGCTCGCTAGCCTAGAGGTCACGGGCTCGATCCCGGTGTGTGCCGAAAAAGTTCTTCGGGATCGAGCCAGTGTGCTTTCGCCTTGTCAGTGGTGCAGAATGGAGGGCCTGACAAGGACAGCTGTCGGATTGGACGGGAAAAGCAGGTCTCATGCAAACATTGGCGTACACGTAAAAGATCCCTTGGCAATTGAAATTCGATATGAGTGTATGACGCAGCGCCGCTGTTCTGGCAAAATTTCCCTTATTGCACACTGTATAGCGTAAGCCCGTCTTATATCATTACCCCAAAGGGATATTGGGTAGTCTTCTCCCATCATAAACTTACTAAAGTGGTATATGGTTCACTTTTCAAATCACGTGGTTGCCTTGGATCTCGTCCTTCATCGTAACCAGCGAGAACCTGAAAACAAATTAATATACATATACATTGAGGCAGGTCTTTTTTAGGGGAGGGAGGGGGGGGGGGTATACTGCAACAACTGATTTCCAATGTCTAGATGTAATTTAAGTGCATTTTGTATTTATATGTTCACTTATAAAATAAACAACGCCTAATTCTCATCGTGTCATCCATGTATTAACATGCCATTTATTTTGCATCAGACCAAACCCACTGGTTGCCTTTTGTTCTTTTTTTTAAAATACCATTAGTGCATTTTATAACTTTGGTAAATAAACTCACCTCTAAGAGAAGAGCACAATCGTGAACATTGGCTGCCATTGGTCCTAAATGATCAACAGTAAGTTCTATAGGCATGGCACCAGTATATGGTACAAGACCCCAGGTTGGTTTTATTCCTACTATACCTGACCATGATGCTGGTATTCTGATGGAACCACCTTGATCACCTCCAATAGCCATATCTACCACCTTACCAGCCACCTTACAATTATAAATAAAACATGTTTAACAACTATTTTTGGGCATTAAAATATATTAAGGTGACAATATTTACATTGTTTTAAAAAATCCTATCCCGGTAACATCAAATACAAATGATGTTCACACAACAGCAAACTACATGCAATATATTATTTCAACCGTTCACTTGAAGGGACAAAGTGGAGAAAGGTAAGAAAATTCATCAGGTAAGGCTATTGACCCCCACCCCCCTCTCCACTGACCCCTAGGATCGAATGACAGATTGAATACCGTACACATGCATCACAAAGGATTCTTTCTTTCAATAGAATAAACAACCAGTCCAAAGTTCGGATCGTTACCAAAGCTCGCAAGTTTTCTCAGCAAAAGGGAATAAATCTGGAGACCATTCTAGAGGCAGATCACCATTAATTTCCCATTGACTTCAATGTTAATTCTTGTCTCTGAGCCCGGCTCCAACCTTTCTTGAAATTTTCGGTGGGCTGGACGCTTTTCACTATCGACAGATTTTGTATGAGGTTGACAATGAAATTTTGAGAAATACAAATTTGAAGTGGCATACTAAAACGTCATTATACTCAGTACATATCACAACAGATGACGGACATAAAAAGTACATAGGGAGAACTGACTAGAGCAGCGCTGCCTGAACTAGATCCACCAACAGTTCTGGTTTCATCAACCGGATTTCTCACTGGTCCGCTAGAACAGGTACTGCTACATCCACTATAGCATAGGTCCTCACACGCCGTTTTACCCAGAATTCTTCCTCCTAGAAAACACATTGTAATGAAGGCGAGGTATCAGCTATCATATTAAATACAACGTATCATATTAAATACAAGATATCCGATATTATATTAAATACAATTAAAGTATCCGATATCATATCAAATACAAGGTATATGATATTATATTAAATACAGGGTATCAGCTATCATATTAAATACAAGGTATCAAATATCATATTTAAATACAAGGTATCGGATATAACATTAAACACAATGTATAACATATCATATTAAATGCGAGGTATCATATTTGATAATGTATCCGCTATCAAATCAAACGAATCAGCTATCAAATTCGATAAATCTGATATCAAATAAAAATAAATCAGCTATTGAATTCAATAAATCAGATATTGAATTCAATAAATCAGATATCGAATACAATATATCAGATAACAATTTCAATCAATCAGACAACAAATTAAATGAATCAGATATCAAATGAAGTGAATCAGATATCATATTCGATTGTAACACTAATAGTACAGAACAGTATCGTACATACAGGATTTGTTTACACCGGGAACCAGAACAACTGGAACAACAGGAACATAAACACTAATATACACAGGGTACATTGCTACTTTAAGACACCAGGAACATAAATTATAACATCAACACGGTACATCACTATATTATGCGCTCGTCTCTGCTCCTCTAAACATGTCTCTAAAACATGGCCTTATATACCTTTAAACAGGTGCGAAAATGGATACTGGCACCTTATAAGGAACTGGGACTACCCACAAGTGTGACAAAGTGATCGATAACTTTCATCAAATTGAACGATCATTTAGATGCTTAGAACTTTATGACCTCAGCTGGTTTTTGATAATATATGATATTGACGTTTCAACTCTGTATAAACTTCTGTTAAGGCACGAACTGGCTATGATCTAATTAAACATGTAATTAATCTCATATATCATTTACAAACTATATGTGATCTGTGTACAAGCTCCACGTGACTTTAAAGGAATGTACACTGGTCAGTAAGCATACCATGACGTGATAAAGAGACAATTGCATGTATGATCATGAGTCTTATTTATTCTCCGGCGCTATATAATCAGGAGTTTACTGACAGTTAGACAGACAGAGCGGGGAAGAGAAGAGAGGCTTGGACGAGTGCATGGACTCACCCGAGTTCAGTCGCTGCCATGGCAGAGGCACTGAATGGTGGATTTAATATTGTTATATGTGTTCCTGTTGTAGTCTATTTCCCGATGCATTTCACGTTTCATCAAAATCAGATGAAAATTGTGACCTCCAGAGGGTCCACAACCCTGATACACAATATTTTGACACTATTTTGCGAACGAGGGGTGGCCATGTTGTCCGCCAGTTTCGGTCCGATTTTTACGAAATTCGAACGCGACCATCCTTAGGATGTAACGGTGATATATTCAAAAGGTGTTTTAAATCGGATAAAAATTATGACCATAATTCAGGAAGTTATGGTCCGATGTGCGCGCATATCGAAAGGAACCGAGATCTGTGGGTTATAAACATACATTTCAAGTTTAAACCAAATCGGATGAAAATTGTGACCTCTACAGTGTTCACAAGCTAAAAACGTCATTTTTCGTACAATCAGGGGTCATAATCCATGAAGCTACATGAGATCGTAGGGTGATAAACCTATATGTCAAGTTTCATTAAAATCGGATAAAAATTGTGACCTGTAAAGTGATTACAAACAATTGTGGCCGGACGGACGGACAGGGGCGACGACAATATACGTCCACATGAAAATGTGGGCGTATAAAAACGTACACGGTGTTTCAATAATATCACTTCTCAATTTACAGAAATTCACGAGATCCAGGACGTTTATTCTACGACTTTGTAATAGAGTAACTCTTACCAGCATCTAGGACTCTAGTGACGACTGTAGCATCAAATTCTGGTACATAACCTTCCAATATTTTACTACCATTCATCATAGGTACCCCTGCTACGGCAATGTTGTCTTTAATACCCACAGTTTTACCTGCTAATCTACCTGTAGCGGCACCTTTGATATCACATTTCCAACTCCTGTTAAAAGACCGCCATGTTATGATAATACAGTGTGCTTTGATGGAAATTTTGCCCGGACATCGGTGCTACTCTAATCCCAACTGTGAAAGGTTCTTTTACGTCCATGCCCATGTGCAAACGGGATATTGGGGGTTTTTTTCGTTCCATACGAATTACTGACATCTGACCTTGTCAGGCCTTCCTCTTCCACTATCGAAAAGGTGCAATCGCGCTGGAAAATCCCGGCCAAATTTCTCGACCAACACCGGGAACCAGAGAACTGAACTCCGGGCTTGGGAGCCGGCGCTGCTCCCAACAATTAAGGTATTTGAGGTATTGAAGGTATTTTAGTATTTCAGTGGTATAGGGAGTAGATGGGTGTGGGTGTAGGTCATATGTCTTCTTAGTAACTGACAACTAACCAACAGGGTCCCTTTTACGCCTAACCATTGTCGATTTGAGTATAAAATCCCCGTTTTGTTTTCAAATGAGGTTTCAACGCTTTAGTGAGTGTTAACTTTGAGGAATAAAACTTATTAAAGCATTTACAAAACGATTTATTATATTAATGACCAACAATGTACTATTAATTATATTACCATGCATTATATGGGTTGTCATTTTCTGCTGGTCTGTAACCTGGAACTCTTGGATATTTAACCGGAAGTGCGGGTTCTGGAAGTTCTGACAAACGTTGATAGGAAGTTGCTGTACTTTTAAATTGCGCTAAAATTTAAAATATATCGTATTTCAAGCACTATTCCTTCTTACTCGAGAAACAGAAAGGGGGGTGGGGGTGTTTAACGTCCAGCATCAATCAGGATAATAAAGACGGCGTGGTTTAACCTGGTATAAAACAGAGAGAATTTGTAAGGTACAGTATCTAGTAGTTCTGATACGATCAACCGAGGTCCCGTGTGCACATTAGCGTGCTTCTACAGGAACCATTTATGTTGCAACAAGGGTAGGCTGTAGGGCCGCTGTCCAGTCAATACTTCACTGACTGGACGTTAAACCCCATTTCATTTCATATATACACATGCACAGAGCAAAATACACAAGAATGTCAATTATTTAAGATTTTAATTATGATTTCGCAAGATTATCAAAAGAAATATTTGGAACATAAACATGTCTACCTGTTATAGCTTGTATTTCTTCTGTTGTACATTTTAAATTTAATTCTTCTGATAATTTCTGTAAATCATCTTCGGTAGGTGGACAAACAGCTGGTGATTTATATAAACCTACAAGTATACATAGAAAACATTAATAAATTTATATAAACCTACGAGTATACACAGAAAACTTTAATAAATCTATATAAACCTACCAGTATACACAGAAAACTTTAATAAATTTATATAAACCTACCAGTATACACAGGTTACCCTATGTGGCCATTGTGTAACCCAATATATAAGCGTAATAGATCAGCTTCAGAAGAGATAGTGGTTCACCGGCAGTAACTGTTTAAGAATCTGTAATGGCATACAGGACACATTTCACCAAATATTCCTACACCGTCACGCCGTCACGCAGCCACGCCGTCACCAATGAAGGGCGAAAGTTATTTTTAGTCTTTCTCTCCCTTACCCTTTTCCCGCTTTTGCATGGCGATTCATAGAAAGGGGTTTGAAAATACATTTTCTGTCAGGTTTTGGCGAATATTAATGATTTTGAGGCGGAATGATAGGAGAGTTGAGAGTTTGAGTAGGTTGAAATGTAGTGTGAAAAATTGCATGTTCAGTGGTCTTTAAATCCAGTTTGTGTATCGCAAGTTTTCCATGGTGAACCTCATACGTGCTTTTGAGCAAGAAGTTACCACATGTTGCTCCATCTGTGGTAGAAAGCGTTCTCAAAGAAAATTTGGGAAAAAGTTAGAACCGTTCTAAGAGACGAGAAATAACATTAAAGTCAATGTGTAAATCCGGACATTTTTCCGTATGCAAATGAGCTTCCTCATAGATCCCATAAAAGGTATATGTTCTAATATGCTAAGTTCTTGTCTGCGATATCACCTCGGTGGAAGCGGACGTAAAATACAACTAACTAAGATATGCTTAGTTCTATTATGCATTCGTCTATTATGCAAAATGCAGAATGGAGAAGTGTAATGTGCAAAATAACTGTCGTACTGTGTTTTGTATTATTGAAAAGTATATTATGTATTTTAACACTGTGACATTGATATTGTGGAGCAATGGGGATTTCAAATTGTAAAACTCAAATACATATTTTGAACTGTTGTCATGCATTTTGCACCGTGAACATTGAAATAATATTGGCAACGTTATCCTTCCATAGATCACAAGTGAGACAAGTAGTTGTTGATTCGACAGTATCTATATATGATATATATGGGTCTGTTGTTGACATATGATATATCTAACGATTATAAGATATACTGCACTTTTTGTACATATACCCATCTGTTTCATTTGTGCTTGAAGTATATTTGAAATTTTTAAAATATATGTGTTGTGTTGTACACTCGAACGACATGAACGGTTGTCTTTGTCTCATGATAAATATCACTACCTGCGATTAGTTATTTTCAGAAACAAAAAAAATGTTTTCAATAGTAACCGAATACTAAGCACATTTATATCTCATGAGTGTAGATTTAGCATTAACCCTAAATATGGTTTACTTTTCTATGAATTACTCCAGAGAGCCTAACTTTCAGTGTAATCCTTACACTTTAAGATTTTGTTATTAATTAATACACTCGAGCCGGCGTAAAAATGTATTGATGACGTCCACATAAACATAAGTAGGTCGTTTTGAGACCAAAAGACGGTTAAAATGTCGTTCAAAATGAGATCAGATCACCACTGATTCTGTTCTGGTCTCTCAGCCCGGATCCTATAATTGTGTTGGCCTGAGCCCTCCCCACATCTTACTTAAAAGTCTATATGTAAATCTTGATCATTGAATTTTTGAGATACACAAATGTACAGTAGCATAGTACCGTAACCCACATTTAGCTCTGTTATCCACAAATATGCACCAGAACCTGGCATGACATTCGAACCGAGATGAGGACCTTAATTGGTGGTCTGAATGCAACGTTAATATCACTTATTTGGTTATCAAGAATATGGTAATTTGAGTTGAGGTTTTAATGTAAAATCGACAGATTCATGATTTTAGGGCGCAAGAATAACAGGATTAAGAAATTGGTTACGTTAAAATTTAGGATGTATATTTACAGAGAGAAAAGTGAAGTAGTTTATCAATGTAAATGAAATCAAAAGTCAACTATGCGTTATCCCAATTTGTTTTTATATACAAGTCTATAGTAACCATTCCTTCAGAAACAAGAAGTGAACCAGGTGCTAAAGTATAGAATATTATAGTTAACCTTTATAACTGTAGAATTTCCTACAGAAAGCTCTATTAAAATCTACAGAATAATGTAGATATTTTAAAATGGTATATTATTTGCGCTGTGTAATGTTTGAAGCCTGTACAAGCCACCTAATACTACATTATTTCATCCTACAGAACAGGGGATACTGCCGCAAAAAAAAAAAAAAACAAAAAAAAAAAAAAAACGTTTTTGTGACGGTCCTAAAAATGATCATTGATATTACTGTTGACTGTACATACCTGCGGTTTTAATTCACTACCGTTGGTAGTAGTTATGAATACCCGTGTTTATGACGGACCCACACTGTTTATAAAATCCCGATTTACCTAACCCTAACCCCAACCCTTTATCAGATGGCGTTACTTCATCTCGAGTCTTATATATGACGTTGTTTTATACAAAAACGGTAACGCATGCATTATTTTTAGCAGAAAGATACATACCCTGTCCCGAGGCCATCGTTGATTTGGTTGTAATGTAGTTCATTGGTTAGTCAGCGTTATCTGTTGAAGCCTAAATAATATATGCATCTGTTACTAACTGTGCAGCGTGAATATATTATTGTTTTTTAGCGTGTCAAATAAACCTTATAGAGATCAAGGACGGTCAACATTAACTTTAAGATGCATTATGTATGATTTAGATAAAGAGCTGACATCTTTTGCGCTATAATAGTTTTTAAAAAAAAATCATATGACAATGTTTGTCAAATTACTTCATTCTGAGCGAAGTTATACATGTTTGGAGAATAGTGGAGTCTCGATTGCCATTGCTACCGTTGTTACGATTGTAAACAAAGTCTCGAATATCCATTTTTTAATTAAATCATTAAACGACGATCTAGTTTAAATCCATTAAAAATCTCGAGCATCCGAAAGTAGGTTATGGTCTTATAATGTTAATAAATGTCTTAGTAATGATTTGTAATTTAAGGCCAAAAGAAAGACCTGCAATAGGCAGATTTAGCTCTAAAATAATGCATCTATAAGGGTCAATAAAAATGGGCCTGAGAAATTATAGTCTTAAGCTTTTATAACGATCCGAATTCATTTGTATACAACAATAATATGAAGAAATTGCCGCCATCATTTTTAACGGTGAAATCGTGTTGTAGAACGGAACAAACCACTAGGGATACCGAGGATGCAGGGTCAAAGGAAGCTGGGTCATAGGTAAATTAAACATGTTTCGTTAGATGTTCAACTTAATTGATAAGTTTTATCAGAGTCTATCTATTGGTTAAGGAAGGGAGCGTGGCACATTAATCAATCGTTTTAATGAATACAGGGTTTCACTTTTATCTTTCTTCAAGGTTGGGGTGGTTTACACAAGGTATCTGTGGACTGGATACCTGCTCTATTCAGGCTTCCTCATACGGCACGGAAAGTTCAAGAGATTTTAGTATTGATAAGATCACGGTTACGCCAAACGACAATATGTACTATCTCAGTCAAGTGGCGGGGTGCCATGTGGGTGGAAACTTTTGTTTGTTGGTAAGGGTGATGTAGCTGCTGAAATTGAATTTACATTCGGGTCCAGATTTGCCCCACTAATCACCATCGACACCCACCGGGTCTCCTCCCCTAACAAATAGTCGGTTTGCTGTGTAGATAAATGCGCCAACAAACTATCAATTTCTTAATCGAAACCCCAAAAATATTTCATAAGATACAAAAACATACATTTCTGCTCTCAAGCATATTGCACACAGAAATTAGATTTTGTTGCATCTCTTAACATACAATTATGCAATACCCTATCGTTAAATCTTTATCTAATCTAAACCGAAATCTTTTTAATAATGTTCGAATGTTTTAGTCAAATATGTTTCTTAAAATATACAGACCTTGGATATGATGCCGCAGAAATATGACTGGTTGTTCTAATATTGTAAGGATTTTAGATTATGTTCTAATAATTTAGAAAGCTCTAGGAGCAGGCAAATTATGGAAATGAAACTGAACTATATAACTGTCCCGATAAAGATTCCAGTTTCTAATAGTGTAAGGATTCTAGATTATCTTCTTATATTTTAATATCGTAAGGATTCTAAATAATCTCCTGATATTTCAATAGGAGAAGGATTCTAGAACATTTCTTGACCTAGGTTACGTTCTTCAGTAAGGATTCTGGATTAATAGTGTAAGGATTCTAGATTATGTTTAAATATTTAAATAATGTAATGATTCTACAAGATATTATGCAATGGTGTTTTGCACAATAAATGTTCCACGAGATTTTTTCAAACATTTGATAGAGTATTTACGGACTGTGGTACCACGACATTGGATCTATTGACCTGATCTTCCATCCAGGTCTTTTCTTATGTTTATTTCTTTCCTCTTATGTTAAAAAATGAAAACACAGACGCAGAAAGTAGTATTTGTCATATTTAATGATTTTCAATGTCCTACATAACATATTACACATAATATACAAAAAAGAGAATTGATGGCAAAAATGTACATCTTGTAGTCTAATCAATCGGATTTTTTTTTCTTTTTGAAATACTTCTTACATGTTCCTTACATTCATGTCAAGTTAAACATTCCTTTTTATTTTTGTCCTTAGACAGTGTATGTGACACTGTGTCCAATTCGGAGCAGAACATTAAGACGTTAAACCCTATTTCATTTCATTTCATATGACACTGTGATACCGAATCACATGGCCTTCCAAAGTCTATATTTTGCCAAGACTCCACATATGCGTGACACTATGCTGTCACATCTATTCTGGTCATCGGCGTCAAATCTAAGACTGTAACACTACGATGTCATCTTCGTGTGACACGGCACTAAAGAGACGAGTGTGACGTTGCCTGTTCCTTTGTCAAACGTGGACATAGCATCTGACTTCACATTTCGTTGTGCACGTGTATGTAGATAAAACTATTGAACACTGTATTATTTTAAAATCCTTGTCAATATGCTAAATACACAGAAACTATAACAGTTATAGCCTGTAAGGCGAGGTTTCGATACCCCGCTTGTACGTGAGTAAGGTCGCCTATCAAACTTTGTTGGTTTTCTCCCGGTCCTCCGGTTTCCACCCACTGCCTAAGACCCCCTACGCAAGCGAATTATTCAAATAAAATTGAACCATATGTTAGTCCCGATATAGCATAGTTTGTTTCGAGTTTACGTTAAACCCCATTTCTCTCAAAATATATAATCTGCAGTCTGAGTTTGATGGGCCTAGAATCCAGGCCTACTTCTGAAACAGTAGTGGTCTTTGTAGGAATTCAGCTCAAAGGGTGGGGTAGAATGACTACCCGGGGCCATTACGGCACTGAGTGAATAATTATATTTTCCAAGGGACCTTTATATAATTGGCCTAAATCTATATCAAATTCAAACAGAATCCCCACACACAGCAATTACCCTATTCTATGTCTACCTTGATAGACTAAGCATAACATACACTAAATAAACTATAAACATAACATAGACTAAATAAACTATAAACAGTCAATAGAGTTATACGTAATTTTATCTTCATCAAAACCTCTGAAGTCACTACTTTAACAATAGGTGTTACACCTGTTTCATCGGTAATATGACAGTCGATCATTGTAAATAAAAAAACGAGCTTGGTATATTCTGATTTATGAATCAATACAGGTGATGTTGACTTTTTCATATTAAACTATGGTTTTAAAAAATTTCTTTGATTTCCAATTGTGTTTGCGTAATATACTTGTAGGCCTACTGGAATATGATGTAATAGATACCCCTTGTGGAAACCCGTGCTTATAGTAACTTTATCCTAATTATACTTTATTATACCCCTAAAATAGTTATATCTTTCAATATTCTGAAAAACGGAAAATATAAAACTAAATCTTCAACGTCCTTCTTATTCGCCATCTCGAATTTTCTCAAACGCTCGTGCGACTTGTAATACTGTTGTTTCATCAAAATGACGTCCCCAGATCATCATACCAACCGGAAGTCCTCCAATATTTCCCGCGTTTATAGTGAGTGCGGGATGACCGGTGTGGTCAGCTGCCGCTGTATTAATAAGCATCGATTGTGATGTCTCAATGCATTCTGAAATAGAAACATCATCATCATCATCATCATAATAATACTAACAAGCCAACAGTGAGGCTTTTATCCCCGCCGGGGGGTTGGATGACTATTGCGTATAGTCTGATCCCACTAAGCACTTACCATAAGTTGAGCAATCAGCTTGTAGAAGTTTTGTTGCCTTGTATGGTAAAGTTGGTAGAATTAAGACATCATATTCCTGTAGAACTTTATCATAGGCTTGGGTTAATACCGTTGTCAGGTTCTGGCCTTTCGCATAAAATTTATTACCATAATTTCTGTTCATATATTCTCCAACCAAACACAGCATTTTAACAACTTTAGAATTATCATACGGTCGAGTCGTCCGTCCGCGGAAAAATGCTTCCTGTAGCGACGTTGCGTAATAACCTTTCCATTGGTAGCCGTTTCCTGCAATTAAACAATTCCTGTTCATATATTCCCCAGTCAAACACATCATTTTAACAACTTTAGTATTATCATACAGCCAAGTTCACCGTCCCCGGAAAAATGCTCCCTGAGGCGACGTTGCGTAATAACCCTTCTATTCGTAGCCGTTTCCTGCTATTTAACAATTCCTTATATGTTATGATTTTGAAAATCACGAATGCAACCGGTGAAATCATGTCACAGGTCATTTTTGCTCAGTCACTAATTTGAAAGTTATTTTAATATTCGATAAAAAAAAACGTTGCAGTCTGACTGTCTCATTGCACTTTTCGCAATTAAAACCTCGAAAAAAATATTCGAGAGCCTTCAAACCGATCTGTAGTTGTTTGGGTAGAGTAGGCTTTGTTACAAGAATCTTGCCAGTTGGAAGTCGTAGAAGAGTAAGCGGAAATGATTTGCACATGGTGGTCATAGATACTCTAAGTTAGTATCCGAATGATCTGGGGCCTGTTTCACGAAATTTTAACTAAGATAAAATCCAAATTTTAGTAGTAATTTGATTGGATAATATTAGGTAGATTTTAGTGCTTAGCCAATCAAAATTGAAGTATCTACTAAAATTTGGATTTTATATTTAGTTAAGATTTCGAGAAACAGGGCCCTGAGTATTCGGTGAAGAGATTTTATTCCCAAAACACCAATGCCTGGGACAATAGAAGACGTTTTGAATACAGCTTAATGTTTACAGATTACTAACCATTTCCCAGGGGATCACGGTGGCTAAGTGGGTAAGACGCTGGCTCGCTAGCCTGGAGGTCGGGTGTTCGATCCCTGCATTGGCCGAGAAAGTTCGTCCAGATTTTCCGACGTGGTTCCCCCTTGTCAGTGATGCAGGACGGAAGGCCTAGCAAGGACAGCTGTCTAGTCGTTCGGATGAGACGAAAAACCGAGGTCCCCTGTACATATTGGCGTGCACATAAAAGATCCCTTGTCAGCTGGAATTCGATATAATCGTAGGCCGTAGTGCCGCTGTCCGGAAACAATTTCCCTCATAGCACACTGTATATGCCCGTCTTCATTAACCCAGTTCGGAACAGAACAGTAGGACGTTAAACACAATTTCATATCATTTTATTTCACTAACCATTTCCAACGATCATGTTATTGTATGATCCCTGTATGGCTACTCCTGTCGAAATGGCGAATGCTGAAACAAATCAAATACAGTATTTATATAGGAATTACTAATTTACCTAATTTATGAGATGTTGGTGGAATATTTGATATATCCTTCAACATTATCAATGGCCACAACTCTTACGTTCTGTTGATTAAAAATAGGGGGTTGGATGGCCGAGTGGTTATCGCGTGCGCTCTGTATCATAAGGTCTGTCATTGAGTCAACTGGCGGGGTTTCGATTCTCCAGTTGTACGTGACAGGGAGTAGGGTCGCCTGTTCAACCTCGTGGGTTTTCTCCGGGTCCTCCGGTTTCCCCCCCACTGCTAAAGACCCTACGCGCAAGCGAATTATTGAAATAAAATTGAACAATATGTTAGTCCCGAAATAACTTAGTTTTTGTCGAGTGGCCGTTAAACCCCATTTCTCTCTCTCTCTTTTCTCTCTGATTAAAAATATGTGGATACATGCCAGATAACTTAGAATATAATATCCATTGATAATCCCGCTCTAGTAGAAATATGATGCGGATTGCTTTGCTCCATATATATTTCACTTCCAGAATATGTCTAAATGTAGATTTCGTGCATGAGGCAGTTTAATGATTACACATGTTGTGCATTTACATGAGTGACGTATTGAGATCAAAAGAACTTACAATCCAAATGCATCGGTACCGAAACCTTTTCAACTTTAGCTCCAGCCTTTGTTAATGTCAGGGCAGCCTGCTCTACCAATTGAGCGACGTCTTGTTCTGCACAATTGGAGAAACCTTCTTGTAGCAGTCCAATCTTTTTCCCATTGATACCTTTATCTAACTACACAATGAATAAATGAACGAATGAATGGATGGGGTTAATGTTCTAATGATTGCAAACTCCAGTCTAAAAATTTCCAGCGTACTTTATTATTTCAGCTTAATGTAGTATAAACGTAATTAGTTTCTTTATAGGTTTAAATATATGGCAGGGAAGTTTCTTTCTATAGAGAAAATGTCGGGAGGAAAAGTCGTAAAGGATATGAGGTAGTCTTCCTCCATCATGAACTTACTAAATTGGTATATGGTTCAACTTTTAAATCACGTGGTTGCCTTGGATCTCGACCTTTATCGTAACCAGCGAGAACCTGTCAATATATTAATATATATAGTTACAGATACACCTAGGCCGTAATAGTAATTGGAGTAATGTTGGGTTGTTTTATATGAGGCTAGAGCTGATTTCCAATGCCTAGATGTAATTTAAGTGCATTTGTATATTTATATGTTTACTTATAAACTAAACTATAAAATTGTTCTCATTGTGTCATCGATGTAATAACCAATCTAATTAAAACACAGATCCTATTTCGTTTCGTTTTTTACAGTTCAGAATTTCGTTTATTTGTCTTTACTGCACTAGGATCTGGAAGAGTTGTTATATTACAGGCGTTCTGGTTAAGTGAGGAATTAGCCAATGAAACGGTCTGTTACGGCGAGCTCTTGGCGTGTGATGCACGGGACTATGGGTAAACCACGCTGATTGGTTAATCAATGTCTGATGTCATAGGACTAAAGCCCTGCGACCGTCCAGTACATCCGGCCAGATCTTTATGTAGTGTAGGCCATCGAAAGTATAAAACACGAACCGAAATATAGATCAGGGCCCTGTTTCTCGAAATCTTAACTAAAGATAAAATCTAAATTTTAGTACATAATTCAATTTTGATTGGCTAAGCACTAAAATCAACCTAATATTATCCAATCAAATTACTAAAATTTGGATTTTATCTTAGTTAAAACTTTGTGAAACAGGCCCCTGTATTTAAATCGGATTGTGTATTAAAATGCCATCTATTTTTGCATCAGACAAAATCCACTGGTTGCGGGGTTTTTTTATTGAATTGTAAATACCGTTAGTGCACTTAATAATCTCAGTAAATAAAACCCACCTCTAAGAGAAGAGCACAATCGTGAACATTAGCTGCCATTGGTCCGAGATGATCAACTGTAAGTTCTATAGGCATGGCACCAGTATATGGTACAAGACCCCAGGTTGGTTTTATTCCTACTATACCTGACCATGATGCTGGTATTCTGATGGAACCAGCCTGATCACCTCCAATAGCCATATCTACCACCTTACCAGCAACCTGACCATTACAGTGTAAAAAATGTGAATATTTCATGGTGACAATATTTATATTGTTTTAAAATAATCCTATCCCGGGAACATATTTTGCAAATAACATTGACGCAACCCAAATCATTTCGGGACTAACTCATGTTATATTTTATTTTAACAGTTCGCTTACAAGCAACGGCATTAAGAATGGGCGGAATGTGGACATAGTTAAGAAAACCGTGATGTTAGGCTATCGCCACTCTTCTGTGTCACATTACCGGGAAATTTGAATGGCGGGTCGAAGTTTTTGATCAACATCAATAAGATTCTTCCGTTCAATAGCATAAACAACGAATATAAAGTTCGGGACATAACCCCAGCTAACAAGATTTCCTAACAAAGGGGAATAAATCTGGAGACCATTATGGAGGCAGGCCACCATTAATTTCCCCATTATTGACTTCAATGTTAATTCTGGTCTCTGGGCCTGTCTCAAACTTTTCCCCAAAAGTTTCGATGAACTTAACGCTGTCACTACCAATGACATTTTGTGATACACAAACCTAAACTAGCTTAGTTTAGCATGTAACTATCCATCGTACATATCACCGTTGCAATCTTTTAACTCTGTTATCCTTCCGCCTCTAAATCATGAATATTTCCCAAATCCTGGCAGAAATTGTAATTGAAAACCCTGTTTTCATTCTAGATAACAAAATCAACAACAATGACCAAGCAAAAGGTGGGAATAGGCAGAGAGAGAGAGAATAGCTATAAAGGTGCGAACTACTAGCAAATCGTACCGAAGTGGTGAAATTTAATTGTGGTCTGCATCCTAAATCAAACTTTTATTGACAATAACTGTCAATTTAGAAATGCTTTATGAAATATTGTATCTTCCATTGTGCTAGCATGAAATGTTAAGGACAGATCGACGGTCATAATAAATACATAAAACAAAATTGACCAGGGCTGCGCTGCCTGAACTAGATCCACCAACAGTTCTGGTCTCATCAACCGGATTCCTCACTGGTCCGCTAGAACAAGTACTGCTACATCCACTGAAGCACAGGTCCTCACATGCTGTTTTGCCCAGAATTCTTCCTCCTAGAAAACACAGTGTAATGAATGCGAGGTATCAGCGATCATATTAAATACAAGGTATCATATTAAATACAAGATATCCGATATCAAATTAAATACAGGGTTTCAGCTATCATATGAAATACACGGTATCAGATCTCACATTAATTAATAATTACCAGATATTATTATCAGATACAATATTAAATACAATGTATCAGATACAATATTAAATACAAGGTATCAGATATGTTAAATACAAGATATCATAATAAATACAAGATATCAGATATCATATTAAATACAAGGTATCAAATATCAAAATGAATACAAGATATCATAATAAATACAAGATATTATAATAAATACAAGATATCCGATATCATATTAAATACAATTAAAGTATCCGATAGCATATCAAGTACAGGGTATCTGATATCATATTAAATACAGGGTATCAGCTATCATATGAAATACACGGTATCAAATATCATATTAATTACAAGATATCCGATAACAAATTAAATACAAGGTATCAGATATGATAAGTGCAGCGTATACGATATCATATTAAATGCAAGGTATCATATTTGCTAATGTATCAGCTATCAAATTTAATAAATGAGATATCAAATTTAATAAATCAGATATCACATTAAATGAATCACATATATTATTCGGATGTATATTATACCAGAGTCAATGCAACATAATCTTAGATATCACAATTTATTTAGTGCAGAGACTTTGATAATACATCAAACAAACGCGGTCTTCCAGTGACCACTTTACTTCTCAATAAACGGTAGTTTACCAATCTGATTAAAACACAGATCCTATTTCGTTTCGTTATTTTATAGTTCAAAATTTCGTTTTACTTGTCTTTACTACACTAGGATCTGGAAGAGTTGTTATATTACCGGCGTTTTTGTTGAAGTGATGTATAAGCCAATGAAATAGTCTGTTACGGCGAATTCTTGGCGTGCCATGCACGGAACTGTTGGTAAACCACTAGAACCGCCAACGTTGATTGATTAATCAATGTCTGACGTCAAAGGGTCAAAAGCCGTTCGTACGACCCCTGACACGACCTTCGAGTACAACTTGTCAGATCTTGATCATGTAGTGTAGGCCATCGAAAGTATAAAAACAAGAAACGAAATATAGATCTGTATTGTAATCAGTTTGGTAGTTTACCAGATCCAAGACGTTTGTTATATGATTTGTGTGTTTAAGTAATTCTTACCAGCATCTAAGACTCTAGTGACGACTGTAGCATCAAATTCTGGAACATAACCTTCCAATATTTTACTACCATTCATCATAGGTACTCCCGCTACGGCAATGTTGTCTTTAATACCCACAGTTTTACCTGCCAATTTACCTGTAGAGGCACCGTTGATATCACATTTCCAACTCCTGATAAAATATCAATATGAACTTAAATGAATTGGGGTTTAACGTCCTACTTTTCTGCACCGACTGGGCTAATGAATACGGACATAAACCATACCGTGCTCTATGGACTGCGGAGCTACGACCTGTTTTTATTTCGAATTCTAACTGTCAAGGATCCTTTTAAGTGGGCGCTGAGTTAAAGGGTCGGTTGGGGTAGGGGGGGGGGACATAAATCTATATATTCACCGTTTCTGAGCTTCTAGGAATTAAATAATTATATTAATGAAGGTTGATTTACTATTAAATATATATTACCATGCATTATATGGGTTGTCATTTTCTGCTGGTCTGTAACCTGGAACTCTTGGATATTTAACAGGAAGTGAGGGTTCTGGAAGTTCTGACAACCGTTGATAGGAAGTTGCTGTATTTTTGAATTGTGCTAAAATTTAAAATAGTTTGTATTTCAAGCACTATTCATTCTTACTCCCCACTTAAACCAATTATCTTGAAATTTCGGGGTCGGAGAGCGAAAGAGTGATATCTTTTATATGTAATGTATCTGGTGTACTATCATAAGAGCGTGCTTTTGATAGTAACAATACAACATTTTTCTTAACGTTTTATACGGAAGCGGAATACATGTTACAAGCATAGACTACACAAAATAACATGTCTTTCAGTCTACCTGAATCCAATTAAACTCGCAGAGCGAGGTTGCTGATGGAATCCTCACATTATGGCTCTCCAAAGAATCAATGGGGTCTGACTATACGAGCCCTGGTTTTGCTCTTTGCTCTTTTATATGCCAATGTTTATGCGATCAATTATATGAATGGTTACTTACGCCTTATGTCGTCAAGAATCACCCAAATAATTATGGACATTGGTCTTGAAAGAATATATTTGGTAATTGTACACCACTAATGTTTTAAAACAATAAACAAATTAGCCTTGACTCGACTAGACCTCATATTCTGTTATTCTCCCAATATTGAAACAAATTAATTGCGTTTCAAATAAACACATACCAAACGTTATTATTCATATATACTGTTAAAAAAAAGTAGGGGATATTCAGAAACAATACAAAACTGCGGAAATGCATTGCTGTTTTTATTAGAGGTAACCAGTGTATGTTAATAACAGGCCAATTGCCTACACGTGAACATAAACAGTTCATGTGGGCGGCTTATCTGACGGCCCCATTTCACTCACAAAGAGATACATCGTCCAAAGTGAAAATGGACGGTTTTGATTTTTGTTTTAATAATGAGTAATTGCTCCACCAGTCCTCAGACATTCAGCAATTCGTCGTGGCATGCTCCTAATCAACCGTCCAATCACGATTTGAGGCAATGTGACCCCCCACTCTTCTTGAAGTGCCACGGCCAGTTCTTGCAGTGTTGTCGGTTGACGTTGACGTCGACGAACACGTCTCCCGATCAAATTAAACGTAACACACTAAAGCAAAGATACGCTAAACAGTACATCGTATGCAAGAACCATGAGGAAAGCAAACATGGATAGATAAACCAGCACGCGGCAGTTTTCATCAACCCTTCCTTGGAGTGTCAAATTTGACAATGAACCCCTCCCACGTGTATGGCGCTATTGCGTGTCGTAAATGCAGCTCAGTGGTTCTGTTGGGGCAATAAGTTCTTCATCTGTGAACATACTTTCAAAGCATGTCAAATGTCCATGACTATTTATCATATCGCAACCTGCATAGGTATTTCCATTTCAATATCCCCTACTTTTTTTAAGAGTATATATATAGCATAAACAGTAGCGCCGTTGTCCAGGCAAAACTTCCACCACAGGACGTTAAAGTCCATTTCATTTCATAAATGAGCAGACAACATACACATGAACGTCAAGTCTTTAAGATTATGTTATGACTGCGTTAGATTATTGAGACAATATTTGTAACAAAGATAACCAAGTCTACCTGTTATAGCCTGTATTTCTTCTGTTGTACATTTTAAATTTAATTCTTCTGATAATTTCTGTAAATCATCTTCGGTAGGTGGACAAACAGCTGGTGATTTATATAAACCTACAAGTATACACAGGCAACATTAATAAATTTATATAAACCTAATATATAGAAAACTTTAATAAATTTATATAAAACTCCAAGTATACATAGACAATTTTAATGCATTTATATAAACCTACGGGTATACATAGACAATTTTAATCAACTATTAGCTATATAGTGCACAGTTACGGGTACTTGTTCGGAGGGAAAACAAAACCTCATTTCCTCCCCCCCCCCCCGCCATATCGACAAACAAGAAGTAAGAGCAAGTTTTATGTGAATCCACTGCTCAGGCATCCTCATTTATGATTTATTTAGTTCGTTTTAGATAAAAAGTATCTCGTTTTTCGTTATTCGCCAATATCGAAAAACAAGTAGGAGGCGCAGTTTTTATTAGTTATTAGAAAACCGATTCAATGAAAAGTGTTTTGGAGACATTTTGTGAATCCACTGCATCTTTATACATGATTTTATCTGGGGTTGTTGGGGGTTTTTTTTGTTTATTTATTTATTTATTTATTTATTTGGGGGGGGGGGGGGGGTGATTTTTTGATTTAATGAAATGTGTTTCTCAGTTATTCTCTATACTTTCCTGAAATCTGTCTTTTTGACAGAAACACGAGTAGGTAGTTTTTTGTTACTCGCCAATATCGAAAAACGAGCGACCTGTTTTTCGTTATTCGACAGTTACATAATCTGTAAGATTATTAGGTCAACATTACAAATAAAATGGGGTTTAACCTCCTACTGTTCTGCTTTGACTGGGCTAATGAAGACGGGCGTACGCCATACAGTGTGCTACGAGGGAAAGTTTGCCCAGACAGCGGCACTACGGCTTACTCTTATATCGAATTCCAACTGTCAAGGGATCTTTTACGTGCACGCCAATGTGTACACGGGACCTCGGTTTTCCGTCCCATCCGAACGACTAGGCAGCTGTCCTTGTCCGGAACCCCATCCTGCACCACTGACAAGGGGACACCACGCCGAAATTACCGATTAACTTTCTTGGCCAACACCGGGATCGAAATCGCGACCTCCAGACTAGCGAGCCAGAGCCTTACTCACTTTGCCAGCGTGGCTCCCTCAACATTACAACAACACAAATATAAAATACTGGTTTTCAGTGACAACAAACGGTATGAGAGCTCTGCATAATGGTGCTTCAGTGTAAAAATCTATAATATGCAACTGCACTAAGATTAGACGAAAAAGTCATCGTGTAACTCAATCACACTTGCGACATCAATTAAGACGGTTGTCTAGTCTCTCTATATATATACATTATATATCTTACGATTATAAGACAGCGTGCACTTTTATACAAAATGAAATGAAATGAAATGGGGTTTAACGTCCTACTTTTCTGCATACACCATACAATATTCTATGGGGGGAATTTTGCCCGGACAACGCGCTACGGCTTACTCTTATATCGAATTCCATCTGCCAGGGGATATTTTACGTGCACGTCAATTGTGTACACCGGACCTCGGTTATTTGTCCCATCCGAAAGACTATACGATGCCCCTTGCCAGGCCCTCTGTCCTGCACCACTGACAAGCAGGAAACCACGCCGAAATTCCCCATGAGCTGACTTTTATACAACCCCTTATTTCTTATCTCCTTGAAATTTGATAATACATGTGTTGTGTTGTACACTGGGGCGACATGAAAGGTTATCTTGTAATACAATAGTCTTTGCGACCATATTGTTTCTTTAACTAATTATTAGATTCACACTTTCTATAGAGTTAAATTTCACGTACGCACATGAATTTGAGTGATGTATTTACATATAAAAACAGTGATATTTTGGTAAAGTCCTTACCATTGTCTGTTTATGACATATGTTTGGTAGACCAAATACGCTAATGTTCTCCTCCCTGTCTTTGGGGTATGGGTATGTTTATTCCATATTTGGGAGTTGGGCGAAATCTATCAGAGCTCACCAAGACTTTCCGAGCAGCCATCAAAAGCTATATACAAGTTATTGAAGAACGATGAATATTGGTTCAAATTGTTTTAATAATAAAGTTGTATCAACAAACTAACCTGTAGTTATATTTACGATCACAAAGGAAACACAGTCAACAAAGAAGTGCGGTATTACTACAATCTTTGTCTCATGTATAACATCACTACCTGCGATGTGTTATTTTCAGAAAGTAAATGTTTCCAATAATAAACGAATACTAATCTCATTTATATCTCATGGGTGTAAATTTAGTATTAACCCTGTGTATGGTTTGAATGTCAATGAATTACACCCCAGACTGTAAATTTGAGCGAAATCGTCACACTTTAAGATTTTGTTATGAATTATAACACTCGAGCCGGCGTGGAAAATTTATTAGAAAAAGTTTTGCAAAGCCGATTTTTTTGCGTTTTGCCAAATAAAGAACTTCTAAAGCTCTACACCACGATCAACAACAACATTAATAATATTCCTTATTTGGTTATCAGGAACGTTAATTATAGTTATTAAACAGCCAGCTTGTAGGTAATGCTACAGCGTTTGGGCTGTATTTGTGGCCCCACACCACCACCTCAAAAACAACACCCAAACCAAACGAAGTGTGTAGACTACGACAGTGTTTCATATTATATGAAATGGGTTATGTCATTCAAAACGCTCTATTTAGGACAACTACACTGGTATTGTATAGGGTGTTTTGCTACGAATCAATATCCTGATATTCGGGTATTGAATGTGTCTTCATTCCAGTGGCTTTTTTATCATGGTTATAACTTATCATAAAATCCCGATTTATCTTTGTCAGACTAATTTTGGTGTTTTATTTAAACAAATCTACATATGCAGTCTCTGTTGTGTTATGGATTGAGCAAAGATACATACCCTGTCCAGTGGCCATCATTGATTTGGTTGTACTGTTGTTCTTTAGTTAGTCAACCTTTACTGTGGAATAATAAAACAGCGTCCGTCTGTATCCGTAGCTATAACGCCTTGTCAGCGTTATCACCCAAGGTGGAAGAAGACGTAAAGTTTTAAGCAAGCTTACACCAACAACAACTATAACGGTACACAGTGAACATATTATTGTACTTTGGCGTGCAGAATAAAGCTGTCAGAAGTCAAGGACGTTTACCGTTAACTAAACTTAACTGCCATGGACCTGAGAGTGCATAATGTAAAGCAATGGTTCCCAATCTGTTGTTGGTTGTGACAACGTGTATCCATTTGCTAAGTAATTGGTAGTAGTTATGACTTTGGGATGTAGCTCAGTATACTATTAGTTCAGAATATTTCACGTTATCACAGCATTTTCTGAGTGATCTAAAAATAATGTAGCAGTTCCAAATAAACTATACACGCTGATGAAGGTTCAAACGTTTATTAAAGACTGGCACATTAAGAATATTGACCGTATGTCTTCTGTCGTATATAAAGCAAACCTTAACATCAGTTCCGAAGTTTACTTGAAACTAAATTAAACATGATAAGGGGATTATAGATAAATCTACAAAGATTAACTCTTTGAATAAGAGATGGTCTCAAGACCATTTAAACATCATAATAGGTTAAGCTAACATCTCGTGGGTAATATTTAATAAATGGTGTACCATAAATGACATACGTATACTATATTATGTAAATTAATGTAACATGGCTGTGGTCAGATTCTAAGATATCGATGACGATGAGAGAGACTTGCTACTGGCATGTTAAATTTAAAACATTTATTTTGAACAACAAAAATAACTATACTATATCAGTTGCGACCCCATTCAGGATACCAACATCTGATCGCGACCCCTCGAAGAACGAATCCGATATACAAGTAGGTAGTAGTGAAAATCCCCCCCCTCCCCCCGACAACCCCTTACCCCCACCCCACCCCCATCCCCACCTCACCTGTTTCACTTTCGTGGACGTAAGAGAGAGAGAGAGAGAGAGAGGGGAGAGAGAGAGAGAGAGAGAGAGAGAAAGAGAGAGAGGTTTAACTCCGCAAAAACTATGTCATATCGGGACTAACATATAGTTCAATTTTATTTTAATAATTCGCTTGCGCGTAGGGGTCTTTAGCAGTGGAAGGAAACCAGAGGACCCGGAGAGAACCCACGAGGTTGAACAGGCGACCCTACTCCTTGTCACGTACAGCCGGGGAATCAAAACTACACCAGTTGACTCAATGACATACCTTATGATACAGTGCGCACGTGCTTACTATTGCCCCCCCCCCCCCACATCCCGGGAGTGACAGAAATCACAAATCTTTTGGCCATACACATGGATAGGGTAATAGTTGATGAATTCACACTAACTGTTGGTCATGAATATTCATAAATGTGATGTAATAACAGCTGACTAGTATTATTAAGATATTGAAGGCGATGTTGTTGACAATCCCTTTTTACAACGGCGTGCCCTGAATGAGTTAATTGCGTATGTACTAGTAATCCTTGAAAATATTATTTTCAAATCAAAGTATGTATGTAGTAAACGTATACTACAGCATCAATTATTACAAAAAACCCTTTATATACATGGGGGGGGGGGGGGGTTTGATGGCCGAATGTACGTTGTACGTGACAAGGAGTAGGGTCGCCTGTCCAACCTCGTGGGTTTTCTCCGAGTCCTCCGGCTTCCTCCCACTGCTAAAGACCCCTACGCGCAAGCGCATTATTGAAATAAAATTAAACCATATGTTTGTCCCGAAATGACCTAGTTTGTGTCGAGTGGACGTTAAACCCCATTTCTCTCTCTCTCTCCCTCTCTTTATATACAGGGGTCATATCACACCTTTTCCATATAAACTGCGCTGGCTTCCAATAATTCTTACAATTGAATAAAAATGTATTTAAAAAAAACATTGCACCTGCTTATCTTAGTAATCTTTTAGTTTTTTTAACATCATTGTATGATACCTGTGGCATTCTTCCTATTACGACTGTCCGTTATGCAATGTTTATTGGTCGACTACGAGTTTATATTTACTTATTAAACATAATATTGTCCAGGTATGAAGTAATTTCAATTTGATTTTAAAATAATATACCCATTATATTTAAGTGTTTATATTATAGACCTCTTATGTATTGAAGTTACATCACGAAACTTTAGCTAAGTTTCCCCAAAATTTACCTTAAGAGATTAAGAATACTGTTCATATACACTGAAGTTATTATAAAGAATATTTAACTAATTATAATATTCTATATTATCTTATAATGTATAAACACGAGCGGAACAAATTAAACTCGACATATATAACACTTTATCTTGTTTGAAAATAATCTTAGTCATTCCATCAGCGGATAAACTTTATTTCACCACATTAGAATCCCGACCCCTGATCTCAGAGGAAGCATTGTTTAAAAATGGCCCCTAATTCTAAACCTGGTTTACCAAAGCTAGTTATAAACGGTAAGTGTTATTATATTTTTTATAATTTAATGTGGAATTTTAATTATTGCCTTACAATAGTCATGATAATCATGATAAACTTCATGATAAATTAATTAAAATATGTCGCCATGGCACCGCTATTTGATTGGAAAAGCAATAAGGAGAAAATGAAGTGGATAGCAGGGCGCTCTTTTTATACTGTAGATCTTATATGGCGAATAGTCAAAAAAGCTGAAAAAATGTAACTTAAATTATTCTGACGCATCAGGTGTAGAAAACTGATCTGCTTTTTTGACATTATGGGAAAAGTAAGAAACGGAGCTTTGAATTATAAAGCCCATGATTTAACTAGATTAGCGTTTAATTCATAGACCTTTATTGGTTTGGTTAATTCATCCGATCGGATATATAAATTCAATTTTAGGAAAAAATGAAATCCCCGTGGGAGAAGATGCCGAAGATTCAGCAGTTCCATCAGAACAGGTTAATGCTGTGGATAAGTCTAAAACTGAAGACCCACCACCAACACCACAACCAAAATTACCCACCTTTAAAGAGAAATTATTTTCTTGGCGTTGGCGGATATCTATGATTTTGAGTCTGGGTAATTTTGCCACGATGAATATGCGAGGTGCCATGGCAATGGCTATTGTATGCATGGCTGGTGCTGGCGGCGAAAAAAACACCAGTTCACTCCCGACAAGCAGCAATATGACACCATACTGGAATGAGACCAGACCTCAAGGAAACGTAAGTAAATTTAAAACAATTTAAATTGTAAGTACTGGCGGCGAAAAAAAAACACCAGTTCTCTCCTCACAAGCAGCAATAGGACACCAAACTGGAATCTGACCAGACTTCGAGGGAACGTAAGTAAATTAAAACAATTTAAACAAACTGGGAACGTAAGTAGATTTAAAAGATTTATAAAAACAAACCATAGCCGATTCTGTGTTGGGAAAATTCCTATTGTATCATTTGGCTTAGTAACCAATCATTATAATTATTACGTCATATTTATTGACCAATTAGATAATTGAAAGCCGATACCTAAAGGTAGAAAACGTGTAGCACCATGGGTCTTCTATCAGACGTGGAGAGCGGGCCATTGTTTCCGATCGCCACATCCTACGTATGACCCATGCATCTTTTCTTACTACATATTTTAGTAGCCTTGTGGTCGTCTTGTATTTTCACCTGTCGTCTTTGCTTCCCCTTCACGTTGTGTATTTACTTCTTACTGTTTTCTTAAGACGTTTGTCTTCTCAGTAGTTATAACGATGCAACAGTTCGTTTTTACATTTTATATATCATAGTCGGATACATGGATACAATGGATACAAGCATAGTATAGATTACAGTAATAAAGTCATTCTCAAACACCAGCCAGCCAGACAGCTGCAGCTGGACCGAGTCTGTTGATAGAAATTGCTACATCTTTTCTCTACTGGAATCAAACTGCTGTCTAGGAACTTAGATGGTAATCTCTCCGGAATCAAATGAAATCTGGCTTAAAAGTTTGCCATGATTTCTTTTATAGACCCTATGAACAACACGCACAAAACTAGTGTATTCATGACCCTGAACCTGTGCAATTACTGATATGACTGGTCCCTTAAACCAAATGATGCAATAGGTAAATTTCCAATCACATGTATTTTGTTGACACATAGAACCACCTATGTTTTGGCTCTATAACTCTTTTTATGTGTCAACCCGTCACTTATATTTTTAGTGCCCCTTTAGCACAATTGGTCAAAGACATTACCATCATTAATTATAAGAGCAAAAATTCTAGCAATATTAATACAAACGATCAGAGCACCGGCCGTTCGACAGAGGAGACATATATTGAGAGATAGATACCTCTGAGGTTCAAGTGACACCATCTGGGTTGAGTAGACTCCATTGATTCGTAGGAGAGTCATATGATGTAGTGTGTTCCGTCAGTAGTCTCGATTTGCAAATTAGGGTGTGGAGAGAAGGACATGTTAATTTTAAGTATTGTAATGTAACTTAAGCATATAACCTATGTATCCATTTCTTGATATAAAATGTAGAAACGAACTGATGCATTGTTACTTCTGGTAGATAAACGTCTTAACGGCTGAAATAAAAATAGATACACAACGCGAGTCCTAACAGTAATCTGTTATGGATCTTGTTGGTGAAATACCCATATCTGTAGATTAATGTAAACCATATTGACTGACATGAGTAATTTCCTTTCAATAAGCAACAACAGGACATTATATGTGAATGAGAGCAATAATCAAGGAAACTAAAGTACATTTGATAAACAAGTTAAAGTTATATATGGACCTAGTAATTCTCCCCCATTGATGTCAATGTTAAATTTCAAGATATTTCTTTGGCCTATCACATGCTTATAAACATTCAGATGATCTTAATCGTTATAAACACAATAATATAGCTCTTATCTCTCATCTGACAAAAAGATCCCCGTCAAAAGAATCTTTAGGTTATGATTTAATTCATTTTTGATTACCGCTATAAAATATTCACCAAAACTACAAAAATTGCCGTGTCAGAGAGAAACTGCATTACTAGTCCGAATCATGAGGTATTAGAATTATCTCACTTTTAACGCGGTTTTCAGCAATCGCCACTGACGGGTGTCGATGTGATAGAAAGATATGCATACCCTATCAAGAACATATTTTAACAGCTAACTTCCTGTGAGTGGGTGACGAAATTAAATGGCTTTTAGCACATCACCCGTCTTGCAGACCTCGTTCGTTTGTCATATCCAGAGGATAATGAAGAATCAGATAGTGTATATTGTGTATGTACTATGTGATATTTGGTTATAATTTTAGGTGATTGAGCAGCTTGTAGCTCATCTGTTTTCGACTGTCTTATCTGGAGGAGCAGCAGATAATGTATATTCTGTATATGTTATATTTTGTTATAATTTTAGTTGAATGAATATGAGTTTGACTGGGATAGATCTATACGGGGTACTATACTCTCTGCTACCATGTACTGTGGATTTTTTGCACCATTCCTCGGCGGACTATTATCCCAGAAATTTGGTGCAAGATTAGTTGTGGGTATTGCGATGATGGCAGCCGGTATCTCGTGTCTGTTGATACCAGAGATGACAAGATTGCATGTCTATGCATTGGTTACTCTTAGGTTCTTCCTGGGAGTTTTTACGGTTAGTTTGTTTTTTTTTTTTTTTTTGTGACATTTCCGGATTAATCCATGTTTATTAGTCAGGCATCTCAGAGATGGATATTTGAGATGGATGTGGAAGTTCCGGGAAAAGAGCCAATTTTCCGCAGATGCTACCTATTACCTTTTGCTACAGCTCCCCGTTATTGATAGGCACCATTTCTCTAAATATATGTTCGCTGTAATAGTAGGCAGAGAGAGAAAAATGGAGTTTATCGTCCACTCGACACAAACTAGGCCATTTCCGGACTAACATATGGTTCTTTTTTATTTCAATAATTCGCTTGTGCATAGGGATCTTTAGCAGTGGGAGGAAACCGGAAGACCCGGAGAAAGCCCACGAGATTGGACAAGCGACCCTACTCCTTGTCACGTACAACCGGGGAATCGAAACCCTGCCAGTTGACTCAATGACAGACCTTGTGATACAACGCGCATTTTATTATTTAATTAATTCGCTTGTGCATAGGGGCCTTTAGCAGTGGGAGGAAACCGGAGGATAGGCGACCCTACTCCTTGTCACGTACAACCGGAGAATCAAAACCACGCCAGTTGACTCAATGACAGATCTTGTGATACAACGCGCACGAGCTAACTATTCGGCCATCCAACCTCCAGACCACTTAGGATCGCAAGAATTTTACCAAATATCTGAAAACTCAAGAGTAACAAATGAAAGGTGTGTTATTTATGAATAAAACAATTTATACAATATTCTAGGTTAGTAATATTGCAGCTTTCCAAGATATCTGGTCTCAGTGGGCTCCACAGTTAGAACGAGTTACTCTCGTGTCATTCAGTATATCGGGTAAGCATAACTATAGTCTCGAGCACCCCAGGCATAATTGTTTTCACTTCAACTACAACGCATTTGGGTCTGGACAAAATGGAGATCGTGCATTGTTGCTGGTTGTCCAAGTGCGCATATAGGTCACACCCTGATGTGAAATGTTGTCTCAGTCAACTGTTAACATAGTCTATTATCATTTGAAAAATTGCATTTCCATTGTTCTTAATTTTTTGTTCATATTAGTGAAAACAATGAAATCAGAAAAAGCTAAAAACAGTGCAATATTTGACAAGGGATTTAATGACTCATAATTTCAACAAGTTCAGATTCATAATCTGATCAAGTTCAGACTCATAATCTCAACAAGTTCAGACAGTTCCTTGAAATGGTGAACAACCAAACTAAGAAACACACTCCGCTACTAGGGGACAGGCAGTGACTGTCGGAAAAATAACCCTCTAGTGGCATTTAGCTATTGGAAAGACTACAAAACTAACACAGTTATAGTGGACAACAATTACTGGTTTATTATACACAAGAGAGAGAGAGAGAGAGAAATGGGGTTTAACGCCCACTCGAAACAAACTAGGTCATTTCGGGACTAACACATGGTTTCAATTTTATTTCAATCATTAGCTTGCGCGTAGGGGTCTTTAGCAGTGGGAGGAAACCGGAGGACCCGGAGAAAACCCACGAGGTTGGACAGGCGACCCTACTCCTTGTCACGTACAACCGGGGAATCGAAACCCCGCCAGTTGACTCAATGACAGACCGTATGATACAGCGCGCGCGTGCTAACCATTCGGCCACCCAACCCCCCTATTATACACAAGAACGTTTCAATAAGTATCCTCTTGTTATGAAATCTCCATACGCTCAAAGACACAGAATTTTGGCAATGACATCCAATAGACCATTGATAGTAACTGATTTACCTAAACCGTAATTAGATGTGTTTAATTAAAGATACATTATGGGTTAATTCGATAACGAGTTGGCAGTTCTGACTATAATAGTTAAAAACTAGATAATGTAAAGGCAATTTGCTGAGAATTTCATTCAAATTGATCCACTATGAACCGAAGACCAAGCGTTTGAAATTTCCGCCTAGCCTATATCCTCATTACTAAAGTCAGTATGATAAACAGCATAGTCTCGATTATCCATTTAATCGTTAAATCGTGAAGGAAAGTTATGCAGTAAATCGGATCATAATCCACTTTAAGATCGCAGGCTAGCGATGCCATTTAGAGTTGATTATGGTCTGGATAGGTTAATTAATATCTAATTAATAATTTAGATAACATTTCAGGCCTAAAGAAAGACCTGGAATAGACAGATTTATGTCTTGCATAATGTATGTTTAATTAATTAATACCCGAACTTTAACTTGTCGTCCTTTTTATTTACAGGAGTAAATTTCGCCAACATGTTCTCGTCATTGGTCTCTGGTTTTCTCTGTACAATACCGTATGATAATGGTTGGCCGTTTGTATTTTATTTATTTGGTAAGTGAAGTACACTTAAATTATTTATAATTACATTTGATGACCCATTAATATCATCTCCCAAATTTTCTTAGGCTTCTTTATCAAACAATTGGGTATATTTAACTCCACAACCATATTGTTATTAACTGATACAGGATTTGCATGAGTTAAGAGTAGAACATATTTTTCTACAAATTTATTGATTCTTACAAACTTCCAACTTTCTCAAATACAAAGTTTAAAAACTATAATTCTTAAACTATTTGGCATAGAAGAAATAACTTTGGTTTACAGTAAGTGCTGTTATAGAGGGATAAACAAAATGCCATTATTCCTAAAGTATTGCAAGTACAGGAGCTTAAACTATTAGAAATTCAAAATTAAAGATTATGAAAGATTGAATAAAGAGTTGGAAGTTCTCACTGTAATAGATGAAGTAAAGGGGTATGCGGAAAATTCCCGTCAAATTGTTTTACTCTAAGCCGAGAAAACATTATTTTAAATTCACTGTAGCCGAGATTGTCATTGTTGCCACTGTCACGATAACTAACAAAGTCTCCATTATCCACATTATCCACATCAACGGACGTTAAACAGCAGATCGAATTCAAATCCAATGAAAATCGAACACATGAGATGGCATCGAGAGTTGATTATGTTTTTTATGTTGATAAAAGTCTAATTATTAATTTAAGTAACATTTTAGGCCTAAGAAAGACCTGCAATTGGTAGATTTACCTCTTGCATAATGTATGTTTAATATCCATGTTCGACGTTTTGTATGATAGAAGAGATAAATGATGAGGAATAATAGTAATTACCTCTTTAATCAACTTTGAATCCCCGGGTGTACGTGACGAGGAGTAGGGTCGCCTGTTCAACCTCGTGGGTTTTCTCCGGGTCCTCCGGTTTCCTCACACTGCTAAAGACCCTTACGCGCAAGCGAATTGTTGAAATAAAATTAAAAACCAAATGTTAGTCCCGAAATGACCTATTTTGTGTCGAGTGGACGTTAAACCCCATCTCTCTCTCTCTCTCTCTCTCTCTCTCTCTCTCTCTCTCTCTTTAATAGGCTTTAAAGTATATATTGGTATATTACAGGTGGCACGACCGTATTGTGGAGTATTCTATGGATGGTGTTTGTATATAACACACCGGAAGAACATCCATTTATATCAGAGGCTGAGAAGCAATATATCAAAGAGAATAGAACCGGTATGGGCAATAAGAAGGTAAAACGATTGCTCCATCACGGTAAAGTTAGCATAATTAAAAGATAATGTTCAATGCTATTCGTTAACTTGTGCACAGATCTCGGCTCAGTGACAACATCGTCCACAGATTTTGACTTAGTATTGTCCATTTAGTCCACAAATTTCGACTTATTATTTATTTATTTATTATTCTAAGAAACAGATACATTCATGGCAAAAATACAAAATGGTTGAATTATGATATGTCATGAATAATCTGTTTCTTAAGGAAAACCCATGAAAACAGCACAAATTACACAATGTACACTGTAACAGCATTTTGTCTATTTAGTTCATGTAGTCCACAATATCGTCCATTTAGCACACAGATCTTGACCCAATCGGACTTTATTCGCTTGTGTATCTTGTCCAATTTCAAAGACCACTTAACATCGCGATTTAGCTTATTTAATACGAAATGCCACGGTATGTTGTTGTTTTATAGGACAATCGGAGGAAAGAAGAGGAATAAACATCAATCTGATTAAAACACAGATCCTATTTCGTTCCGTTTTTTTATAGTTCAGAATTTCGATTTACTTGTCTTTACTATACTAGGACTTGGAAGAGTTTTTATATAACTCGCGTTCTGGATGATGTGAAGGATTAGCCAATGAAACGGTCTGTTACGGCGAGTTCTTGGCGTGAGGTACACGGAACTGTGGTTAATCAATAGGTCAAAAGCCACTCGTATGACCTCTGACGCGACCTTCCACTGCAACCGATCAGATCTCCATGTAGTGTAGGTCATCGAAAGTATAAAAAACGAAACGAAATATATATATGTATTTTAATCAGATTGAATAAACATTGGTTATTGTGTCATTATCTTTTTTTGTATTTACAGAAAGTAAGTCCACCATGGTGTAAACTTCTCACATCTCGAGCAGTATGGGCGTTTGTGTTTGTTCAGACCTGTAACATGTGGTGTGCTGTCACGTTATTTCTGTATTTACCAGTGTATCTTAACAGTATCCTGGGATTCCCCATTGACGTGGTAGGTTATTTCTATATTTACCAGTGAATCTTGACAGTATCCTGAGTTTATCTATTGGCGTGGTAGGTTATTTCTGGATTTACCAGTGTATCTTGACAGTATCCTGGGATTCGCTATTGACGTGGTAGGTTATTTATATATTTACCAGTGAATCTTAATAGTATCCTGAGTTTATCTATTGGCGTGGTAGGTTATTTCTGTATTTACCAGTGAATGTATCTTTACAGTATCCTGGGTTTATCTTGACGTGGTAGGTTGTTTCTTTATTTACCAGTGTATGTTAACAGTATCCTGGGTTTATCTATTGGTGTGGTAGGTTATTTCTATATTGACTCCTGTATCTTAATAGTACCCTGGGTTTATCTATTGACGTGGTAGGTTATTTGTATATTTACCAGTGTATGTTAACAGTATCCCGAGTTTATCTATTGACGTCGTACTTTATTTCTATAGACCGAGTTCCTGTCCTTCATATTGATACTAACGGATTCTACAACTACAACTTCCATGGCCGACATGACGATTTCAGATAACGAAATGTTTGTTAAGCAAGAAAAGTCAGTGTGACATAGTAGGGTTAGGCGAGTTTATAAGCTGTTGTGCGAATTAATGGACTATAATCCGACAGTAAGTTTAGAAACTGACAATATTCCATTTCAGGGTGTTACATAGCTTTGATTGTAAATTGACCATGGTTTTAACATTGTCTTGTAAAACAAATCACCATATAGAATAGGAATGGAAATATTTTGTTGTTTGTCTATTTATTCCAGACTGGCCTGTTATTATCAATACCTTTTATGTGTAGATTTTTTGGATCCTTATTTTGGGGATATATATCAGATCTGCTTCTCAGGAAGACCAAGTTAGGTGTAACTAAAATCAGAAAAATTATCCAGACTATTGGTAAGTAAAATTGTCAAATAAAATCATGCTATGTATTTAAAAACAGTAATCTTTTGAAAAAATATTGGTAATTAGAATTTAGGTAGTTTAAAGCGATAGGTGTATTTATTAATTCTATTTAAAATATGGTAAAATAAAGTCTTAAAACACATGAAAACTCTACAGTCCTACATTTTATTGTTAAATAAAAAAAACATTAATTATATAATTCACTATTCTCAGTTGAAAAATTGAATAATAAATCATTTTCAATTTGAAACGCAAACATTGTGGTTTGAAATTTGTTTTTTTTTTCGGGGGGGGGGGGGGGGGGGAAAGAATTGAAAACAAGGGAGGTAATTTGCGATTATGATATTATTAGAACAATATCAGAATGAATCCTATGATTGTATAATAGTGAATTGACAAGCTGTTATGAAATAAAATACAGAAATGATCGTGTTTTGACTTTCTTAGATAATATGCAACTATTTCTTTAAAAGACCATTGTGCGAGAGTAACAGGCCAGTTTAATATCGCTACAGTTTGTTTTAGTCAGTTCAAACGATAATCTTTGAATATTTTAAATGTTTAAATTAATGGCTTTTCCAGACACAAAAGGTGAACAGTACGTGCTCGTAATTCACTCACCAGTAAGCACTCTTGAATTACTAAAGAACTATCTACAAAGACAAAACTACTCTCAAGCATTCTACTCTTGCCTTGCAAATACATTTTCCTAATGCAAACAAATCAAAGCTACACATGTAATGGAATGGGGTTACGACAAACTCTTATTTTGATTTCTAACAATCACAGGACACTTTTCCTTGATAGACCCTGCACCACTGACAAGGTGAAACACGAGGAACTTTCACAGTAAACATTGGTTAGAAACGTAAGACGTCAAATCGGGTTCCTATGTGTATATGTAATACCCCCGTCAGACCGGGGCGGCGTCCTTACTTCGCTGCTATGGCGACGGAAAATGGTTTTAGAGCGCTTTAAGATTGCCATAAGGGTGGTGGAAACGCCAGCTATCGTGCTGTGGTCACCATTGTCACCAATGATCGCCGAGTCACGGCGTTTGTTTTGAGCATGTTCAAAACAAACGCCAAGGTTCTGCGATCTGAACTGGAAAGCTATGAGAACACGACCTTTTTTGAAGATTTTAATTTTTGGGGACATTTTTGAGCGTTGTGTTCACGTTTGTCGGCGACCTTGTGCATTTTCTGGTCACCGTACGGTCGCAGCAGCGCAGTAAGGACGCGACCCCGGTCTGGCGGGGGCATTAATGAGCATGAGGTGAATTATCAGACTTATGAAGATACTAACATGATTCTTTACGAAGCGTCTTTCTATTTAATATTCTGTATTTTTTATAGGTTTTACAACCAGTGCGACGACAGCAGGCTTACTAACATTTATACCAGAAGACTATCGAACGGTCGCCATTGCTGTAATTGCTATCCTGATGTTCTTCCAATCGGCATCAATGGCGTCATCCGCTATAATCCCTCTAGACATCGCACCAAGGTTAGCTTTAAGTTATATAATGATCTGTGTTGATCTCCCGTCATGACTCCATTACCGCCATCCAATATTCTCATACGGGCGGGCGTTATACTGGAATAGGTAGGGAGACTTCGTGGTGGCGCCACAGTGACGAAACTTAACACCTACGCAACATTTACGGCAGATGACGCAACCATAGCATCACTCTGGTGCCAACCCAGTTTCGCCGCAAGGGGTTTTAGACGGTCGGTTGCGGCAAAGAGTAAGGCAAACATACCCCAAGTACTCCGGCAGCTGATGCGTCATATCTCACAACACTGTGTTACTTATAGAAATAGAAATCTTTATATATTTCAATGGCGTAAGTATTTGCGTCACCTTTACGATAACGCGGATTTTGGCAAAACCTTCAAAAACGACACAGCTTTTGCGACACCCCTGTGTCACCCAACTACGGACCCATGCCTTTCGCCACCTTGGTCTCACACAGCGCACATTTACATACGCAAATATTTAAGCTAGAGCATATGTCGAAAAGTGAGGCACTCCTTTGAGCCAGACTATATTGAATCAAATGTTCTACTGGCAGGTCTCTGAAAGTCTGACAAGTCTAGAAACGGGGTTGCTGTCAAATTAAAAACAAAACCACGGATTTTGTCTAATATTTTCATATGGAATTACCTTAAGGCTCTTATTCTCTTAAAGATATATATATTTTTGATATTGCCTTCATCAGTGCCGCTCACTACACTCTGACTGAATCAAGTCTAGAGTCGTGTCCTATATTGTCTCGGTATCCCCAGTGGTATCATTACCTTCTACTCCACTAACCAACAGGTCCATTCACAGGGGAGACACGTATTCAAAGTACCCGCTGTGTATAATTGTCTAACTTTGTCGAAAAATCAAAAACTTCGATAAGTAGAAATACAGTGAGGGAAGTAACTCGCATCTTGTTCCAACAATCTGATTAGCTGTTATACACTTTGCTTTGTTTTATGACATCTTTTTTTTTGGTGTGTATGTCAAGGGTGTGATATAAAATGTCTTGCAAACATTCTCATAACCGGGTGTCGCTATTTTGTTGAAAACGTAAATAATAACGCTAAGACTGGTTTGTAAACTGCTGTTTGATTGGTTCGTAGCATCCATCTACGCGGCCAATGGAATCATCAAGGGCAGATAATTTGAATTCGTGAATGAACCCAGGGGTTAGTGAAGTCGAACGGAATGACACCCCCTGGGTTTACCGAAGATGAAATTATCCATAATTTAAACTCCACCGTTTAATATAAGCAGTTTCTTAAATCTAGTTGTTTTGTTGTTTTTTGTGTTAAAGGTATGCTGGTATTATAACTGGTGGCTTCGTTGTGATGGGGTCTGTTCTGGGTATATTAGCGCCAATGGTAACATCCATGTTAATCTATGGTGTAAGTATTATATAAATCCTGAAACAGCTGTGAATAAATAATATAGTTGCCTACCTTATATAATCTGCCTACGTCAGTTTATGACAACAAATACATTCGTACATTGTTATGTACCGCGTGTAGATGCAATTTATAGACATCCAAAAACAGTGAAGAAATGGTCTCCAAGGGCTAAACCGTGAAGACAGTTTTCTTCCGTCATTATACTTCGCTGCTCTGAGGTAGACCTGCTTTTCCCTCACGACTGTGTTTACCTGTTGAAGTTCAAATGACTGCATATTTTAGATTAAAGTAGCTAAGTCTCTAACACAATATCGTCCAAAGTTTTCGACATTGAAAACACAAATTATTTGTCACTTTAAATCAACATTGATGTTGTGATCTTACCGGGAAAGGGTGAGCTTCTGATATCCAATATTTAAGACAAAATAAACATTTTACCATTGGTACACGATAATGCGTTTCAGCGTCATTTGTAACAAGGGACTCGAAGAACGAGGCTTAACATAATCCACAAGTCATGTCTAACTGTGACGGCATATTCTTATCTGGGGAGCATGCACAATAGATACTATCGATGTAGATTGGAATAACCAGGCGCTAGAGGTTGCCATTCCATTGAGACTTATAGCGTATTTCGCCGAACATAACTGATTTGAAGTTAGAGTAAAAAGGGAAACGATTGAATGTAAATCAGTTTATATACATTCATATTACATTATTTTATGCGTTGCGACCCATTTGTGTCAATGTCTAGGTCCAAGATATTAGCGACTTAGCTCCTTTAAACCATAGAAACAGACACTGCATATATTTTTATTCGTGTAGCAATAGTAAAATGATTATTTTGTCTTATATATTGGATATTAGAAAGCCCATCTTTTCCCGGTAAGATCACCACATTTATGTTGATTTAAATTGACAAATAATTCGTGTTTTCAATGTCGAAGACTTTGGATGATATTAAGTTAGAGACTTAGCTACTTCAAGGTAAATATTGAGGGAAAGAAACGCACGGGAATTCAAGTTCCTATCAACATTATCCTTTTGTTATTTTAAGACCAACATATGGTTATTGATGTTACTATGTAACTTACAGGGTACGCGAGAAGTAGAATGGAGAATTGTGTTTTTTATTCTGGCTGGTTTCTACACTACTGGTATGCTGACATTCAATATAATGGGTAGTGCTGAATTACAAAGTTGGGCAGATGAAAAGTCAAATCAAGAAATTGGCGACGAAGACGTGGAGGATAAAGATGTTAATGGTGATGGTTTGGATAATATGGCTTTTGAAATAGGTATAACATGTCTTATATCGCCACACCTATAGTATGAAAATGCAAATAAACTTTATTCGTGTCATCCGAACGATTAGACGCTGTCCCGTGTCATTCCCACGATCCTGCACACTGACAAGGGGAAAACCACTCCATATATTTTTCGAACTTCACCGGAAACCATCCGAGACCTAGCTCCTGGTTAACGAGATAGTATCTTCATCGATAATCAGTGTATAAACGGGATCTCATTCAAACGTACAGACGCTGTTCCGTGCCATTCCGTATTATCTTGCACCACTGATAAGACGGGAATCACCTGGAAGAATCCCCAGACCTCGTGAGTAAAGAGGCAGCCTCTTCATCAATATTCACTTGATACTTAAGATGTAGACGGATCAGATTAAACTAAATCAATTTTGCGAAATGACAAGAAATTTTTTAGTTGTTGGTTCTGAGAAGGAAGATTTTTTTCTCTTCTTTAGACCTTAGCTGATTACCTGTGACTTGAAATTTGTAAATCTCACATTTTTCACTCTCATATGCAAGCTTTGGAACAAGACATTGCCAGATGGTACTAAGTCTTAACTAGAGCGAGTTACAACGAAACGAACATTTTGGGAAAAATTAGAGCCCAGCAAAGAGACCAGAATTAACGATGAAGTCAATGGCAGAATCATGTTTTGGTCGAACCTAATTACCCTTTGTTTTATGATATAATATATATTTTTTATTTTAATATAGATATACCGTCATCTGATGGGATGAGGAAAGACAAAGGAGAATCAAATGGATCAGTAAGGCGTATAAGAACGATTAGTACGACTACGGGTTGTAGCAGTGGTCCGAGAACAGCCGAAGTCTCTGTTGCCATTGTTCAGCCTTCAGTATTTGGAACTCCACAGATGGTGATGAAGTTTAAACAACCCATACAAACACCCAAGTCACCACAGTCAGCTGTAGACAAATCGCCCTTCTTCACACAGCCAATGGTAAATATAAATATACATCGATGAAATAAGGAAATTAAATGAAATGGAGTTTCACGTCGTGCACTTCTGCACACGCATTCAATAAAGCTGGGAATGGAGTCATCTGTGGGGGATATGTTGCACTACTGGTAGGATGGCTCTTATATCCATTTCCATCTGGGTTTAGTTGTCCCTCCGTAAGACTTGTGCATTTCTTTTACCTGTCCTCCGTCCTGCACCACTGACAAGGCAAGTCCAGACTAGCAAATCCCCCGTGGGTCATTCTTGGCCACACCAACCTAGCCATCGTAGCTCCCTTGCTTATGCTAGGTTCGAAGTATCACGATTCGAAGTGCTACGATTGAAGTCGTGGTTTTAATCGTGGAGTAATGGAATAATAGTGGTGATCCTATCGGGTCTTATCATATATTGAGACCAGTCGTAGCAATCGTGATGATCGTATCGAAACGTGAGACCAGTCGTATCAATCGTGATGATCGTATCGAAACTTATCCCACCGTAGCAGATCGTGGACTCAATAAAGACAATCGTATCGTAACGCATCGCACGAGAATGGGAATCTGACATGAAACATGTTCCCTCGGAGTTAATAATGTCACTCTTTAAAACCCCAGATTGATTTTTTAAATCTAAACAATACCTCATCAATATATATATAACTACTTATGTCGTCTGTGCCCTGGAACTTATTCCACTTCGTTTAATTAATTATTTATTTTCAGGTTCATGCTAATGCTTCACCCAACTGCGAGAAACGAGCAAACGGTCTAGATATAACGTCATCAGTTATACCGCTAGATACAGATAAGAGGCCTATGGATTACAACCAATCACAGATTAATACTGACCATGTACCCGATGAAACTTATAAGACACACCTTTAGTCTTTTTATTTTAATCAATTTTTATGCATATTTTATAGTATTTATTTCTTGATAAAATTATAAAACAAAACATTGTTCATTTGGAGTTTGTATTTATTGATGGTGTTTTGTCATTCCAATGGACCAAGATGGCTAAGTGAGTAAGACCCTGGCTCGCTAGCCAGGTGGTCGCGGGTTCGATCCTGGCGTTGGCCAAGAAAGTTTATCGGGATTTTCCGGAGTGGTTACCCCTTGTCCGTGGTGCAGGACGGAGAGCTTGACAAGGACAGCTGTCTAGTCGTTCTGATGGTACGAAAAACCGTAGCCCCGTGTACACATTGGCGTGCACCTAAAAGATCCTTTGGCAGTTGGAATTAGATAAAAGGGTAGGCTATAGCGCCGAGGTCCTGGCAAAAATTCCCTCATAGCACATTGCATGGCATATGCTCGTATAGCCCAGTCGGAGCAGAACAGTAGGACGTTAAACCCCATTTCTGATGACACTAGTATGTCTAAGGCCAAGTGTTATATAATAATGGTTACCCTAGCAACGATGTAGAGGTTTTGATGATGGTATTGACATAAATTTACAATTTGACTTGGAACGGGGCCCAGCAAAGGTACAATTAACAAGTTACTGATTATATACCTTGTTGCGTCATAATGTCCCAAGAGTTGAAAAATTGATAATTATCATATACATATATTGCCAATGATATTCGCTTCAATTTAATCCAGGTGCTAAAACAAAAGTAGAATGTAGTAGATAATGTATGAATCTCTGTGGGGGTAAAGAGTATATATTTGGTTGTCCTTATTAAATCAAAACATAGAAATATACGTCTACAATCAAAATTAAACCATAGAGGTATATACACCTTCACGAATTAAACAGATATTTAGCCATGTTGTTCGACATCAATGGCGACACGTGATAGTTGACGTCACATATTTAGAAACTCGTTTATTGCGTCGTGTTGATAGCCCACCTTTTTTAATTCGACATCCAGTAAGCCTCTTATATATAGTTATTCTATCCGATGTTTCCTTAAAAATCTATATTTCAAATAATTGCCTTCCTTGATAATTGTCAAGTAAAAAAAGAAAATTTCTTAGCGCATCGACCAATATGAACAACCATCGAATATCAGATTGATTATTTGATCGAAAGACATTGATACAATTTTCAGAAGGATTTAATCGATCTAAGTATTTCATTATAGTGTTCTTCCTATATTTTACTTGTATAATATATATATTTTGTAGTTGAGGAGTGACTTGCTAAAATTCTCACTTTAAAATGCCATTGCATTTCAAATGATTTTGAACTTATCCTGATATTACATGTATATATGTCTTTGTAGCTTAGGAGGGACTTATGGAAGATTAGTTTTTTTGCAAACTAAATAAGTTACCTCGTTAAATAAAGTTTTTATTACTATTGTTATTATTATTATTATTATTATTATTATGACATCAATACTGCCTTCGATTGCTGGAATATCGTTTAAATAGGAATTCGCTAAATATCTTATATTCTTCCTTCTTTCTGTCGCACTATGTCGATCTTATTTGGGCGGATGCACTGGCTACCTATGTAATAATTCCGAATTGCTTCGAATCGACGCACTACGCACTAAAATAAAAGAAATTCGATGTCGTACTGAACTTTTATCTAAATCATTTATCCCATCCAGTATATGAGAGTGGAATAAACTCAGTACCTCTGCAATACGAAGCCAACGGCCAACGTGTCCAACCAATGTCGCTTGGTTTTATGGGAGCCTAGCCAATCATGTCGTTATATATGAGATGTTCCCCAAATTGTAAGGCGCCTCATAATGAATCACACAATTAACATCACAACTTGATTGATGGGACGCTTAAAACGGCGTGATCTGTGGGGTGTCTTAATATCGCAAATTCAGCCTCAAAATTGACATTTTCCGGCGTTTTCATAGTTCCCCCCTTCAGGTGCAAACCCTATTTTCCAAAATATTCTTGGGGGAGAGCACCCTAGACCGTCACGTGTAGGTACATTGGCGCCCCCAGAAGCCCCATCGGCGCCCCCCAGAAGCCCTTGCACCCAACATTTTTGTGCTAGCTACGGGCCTGGAATATGGACCGAAACCAATGACTTTAAGAATACACACAGTCGGGTCCTTGGCAGGTTATTTGATGCTTTTTCTCAGATTTATCAAAAATTAAAACGAAAGAATTGACTCCAGCTCACAGTGTGGTACATGCAAATATCTTCTACAAACGTACATGTTTTGAAATAAAAAAAGCGGACAAAAATAAAGAACGACTCACTATAATTATTCCAACATAACTGATTCAATTTTATGTAACCATGTGACAAACAATATGTTGTTGAGTGACAGAATACTTGACGATGTACGGACTCGATAAAGAAAAACAAATTGCAAAACATTTCAATGAGTATAACTCCCTACCCACCGTTCCTATAATATTGAGACACATGAACTGTCCAGATTAATGGGGGAAAATGTGTAAACATACATTATGCAAGATCTAAATCTGCCTATTGCAGGTCTTTCTTCAGGCCTGAAATGTTATCTAAATTATTAATTAGACATTAATTAACTGATCCAGCCCATAATCAACTCTCGATGCCATCGCTAGCCTGCGATATTTAGCGGATTGGAATACATTTTATGAAGGATGATTAAACGTAAAAATGGATAATCGAGACTTTGTCTTTATCGCACCGACTTTAGTAATGATGATCGAGGCTTGCCTAAAATTCAAAAGTTAATGTCTCGGTTCAGAGTACAGCAATTTGACTGAAATTTTCAGCATATTCTATTTACGTTATCTATTTTTTAAAGATACATTATGGGAGATTCGATAACGAGTTGGCAGTTCTCACTATAATAATTAAAAACTACATAACGTAAAGACAATTTGCTGAAAATTTCATTCAAATTGATCCACTATGAACCGAGAACTAAACGAATGAAATTTCTGCCTAGCCTCGGTCATCATTACTAAAGTCAGTACGATAAACAGCATAGTCTCGATTATCCATTTAATCGTTTAATCGAGAAGGAAAGTTATGCAGTAAATCGGCTCACAATCCACTTAAAATCGCAGGCTAGCGATGCCATGTAGAGTTGATTATGGTCTGGATAAGTTAATTAATGTCTAATTAATAATTTAGATAACATTTCAGGCCTAAAGAAAGACCCGCAATAGACGGGTTTAGCTCTTGCATAATGTATGTTTAACTATTGTAGCGAGAACTGTCAATTCTTTAGCTAATCTCCTATAATGATCCGTATGGCTTGTTTTATTAATGTAAAGGTACCGCAGAACATATGAAATAGACCAGTCATAGTCTTGGGTTATCTCCTTGCATGTTAAAGCACAACTAAAGACTTAATTACATAAACATAGCAGAAATAGGAACTTCGTCATATTTCCAGTTAGAATGTGCGATTTACAAGAGGGTTGCTCCGGATTTTACCACAGCCACATAAAGAAGATAATACTATTTTTAAACGTTAAAAGGGTGCTTACATTTAATCAAGTGCAGCCTGTAGCGGCGTGAGATTCAAACTAATATCAGAAAAAACGTCGACAGTACGCCCCACCCCACCCCTTTCAAACGAAACTAATATTAAACATTTTTATCTAAACCCCTTTGTAACATGGCGTGGGAAGTTAGGATTTAGGTTCTCGCGAGGCGTTCCTACGGTGATTTTTGTATCTTTTGGTGCTTATCTTATCGCGTACTGATGTCTGATTTACCTTCGTGTCACCGGGTTATACGGCCGTTTATACAGAAAGTTTATAATTATTCATTCATGAATTAATAGTGTAAGGATTTTCACAAATGAAGTCGATATTTTCTGTACACTTAAGGTCGTTTAACTTCATGTTGCCCCACAATTCGATACAGTCCTCCAAACCTTCGTAATTATTATCAGGTTGACCTGGTTCCCAATTGTTGACAACTACAGGACTCCCATCTAACCATATTATCTCTCCATCTACATCCAGATCACTTGCACCAATCCAGTAGTTCCAAGCTAAAATATACACCGAGATACTTTTATTATGTCATTACCAACAGATAAATAGTGGGGAGAGTAATACTGAAGGACAATACGCGCCAACCGAAATAATGAAGACGGGCATACAGTGTGCTATAATAGACACTTTATTCGGACAGCGGCATTTAACGTGCATGCAAACGTGTACACGGGACATTGTTAATTTCGACACACAAGATAAACAAATGGCCATTTTTAAGTTAATGGAACAAATAGAAAGGATTAGCAGTATTGGTGAAATCATTATTGGGTTATCGGTAGTACCTAGAAATCTCCACAAAAACGATTCACCCAGCACTCATCCGTCATCCTTAGTTGGGTTATGTTAAAATTATTAGTGTTTCTTCTCTGATTCTGGTTCAGTTTCCATCCCGTTTTTGCCCGCGTGTATTCCTGTCGAATATACAGCCTGATCTCTGTCTTGTCTTCGCCATAGAACACACGCTAAGTGAGGGGAACTTTTATTTAGTTTATATTTAATTGCATAGCTGTGTAGATTGACTAGATGCACAACGTTGAAGTCCTGATTGGCTAAGTGTCACCGATAGTGTCACACCTGTTTATTGAAAGCCGAGACACCCGGCAGTGTCACATTGTTCTTTTTGACGGTCGCGACCAGGATAGTGTTACATCTCTGTCTACTCTTTTTCGAACTCCAATTCCCAAGGGTTATTTTACGTGCATGTCCACGTGTACACGGGACATCATTAATTTCGACACACATGATAAGCAAATGGGGTCGATTTACTAAAACCATAGCCATTTTTAAGTTAATGGAAACATATAGAAAGGATTAGCAGTATTGGTAAAATCATTATTGGGTTATCGATGGTACCCAAAAATCTCCACAAAAATGATTCACCCAGCACTCATCCGTCATCGTTAGTTGGGTTAAAGATACATTATGGGATGTTAGATAAAGAGCTGGCAGTTCTCGCTATAATAGTTAAAAACTA